CAAAGTAATCTAGTACGGTATTTAGAGTACATGTGAGATTATACTCAGATTAGGGAGATGTTTAATCCATGTAACGTGTTATTATTCTACCTAACAATGTATTTAATGAAATGAATGCAAAACAAACTCAACGGCTAAAAGGTTTCATTGAAAAAACTACCCCTAGTCTTGCCTAATAAAACAACTGCAACTCGAAACAGATTAAACGCATCTTACAAACGCAATCATAATCTGATTAGTCTGTGTCACTCAACGAGGCCGCTTACTCTGCCCACAGTATGACAGTATTGGGCAGTTCAGTAATTAGGAGGTAAAACCAGGCAGGTACGCTGGTCACACTTGACTGGTCTGACTGATGATTAGGTCGTCTGACAATTGGGAGTGAACCATAGCAAGTAGTATCTGCGAAACTATTTGCTCCTTTTATGGGACCGATTAGTTTTATGACCATGGGCCTCGGCACAAGCGTGGTGTTGGAAGACAAGTTATACATGTACATCCGATATGGTGACTTTTTTTCGCTATTCATATTCTAAATACATTCATAATACCACAACATTTTAGTACTCCTTCAAACTTTACAATCACTTCAATATGTACAATAGATTGAACGAGAACAAATGATATATTGCAGATTATTTAATCATTGTCTCTATTATCAGCCGCTACGTTTGTATCGTTTGCATTGTACAAAGAAATATTTTGTCTGTCCTTTTGCAGATTTAGCCTCAGAATGTGCTCATTCGAATTAGGAACGAAAATAATTGCTTATCATGAGTATATATGATACAGTTAAAAGTTACTTGTACACTGTAGACGTATTCACTTTAAAGTCGCATATGACCTTCGCGAGCGAGTTGAATGATACAGGTTAATTGGAACGAAGTCTAGAAAGGGTTATAAAGTTTTGTATTTGGTAATGTGTAGCTTTGTTAAATATGATTTTTTAAATTCCTTTTATTTCAATATGTAAAAACATAATTATGCGCTTAAAAACAGAGCTGACAGAGTTAGCCACCTGAGATTGTCTGTTGGACACGGTTTAACCTTACTGTGTCCTCACCCTGGTTGTTGTTACCGTTGTTATAAGGGATTAAGAGCTACGGCTCATTGCATTTTTGGTTACAGTCTATATCACTAAAGTGGACATGTGCAGGTGAACTCTGTTCAATTAGTATATGAAATGCCCAAAAATGTGAACTCCAGACAATAATAACCTGAGAGTAAATCCACGTGCGTCTGCTTTCCCCTCGTTCACCTTCGAAATCCTTGATTATTATCATGCCAGAGTTCTGAAATTCAGTGACAATCTTGCTGAACAGTAGAATCTGATGGACGTATTGTGCAGAACCTGTTTGACACTCTGAGCTGAAAAAGTTTGGTCCCAACCGCCCCAACGTCTACAAGTTTGAAAGCTTGTAGACATCATTAAGAAGTAATTAACAGTCCAATACTGAGACCTTTCTCAAAATTCAGGCCGGTGGCAGGCTGCCAACAAAGAGAATAAATATCGCAACCCCGACACAAGTATGCTCAGTCAAACAATGAACTTACGACCGGCAGAAAACAACTCCAGTTGAGTATGCCGATGTTGTATCTCAGCCGTGTTGGCCTGAAAATTTAAACATGCTAATTAAATCCATAATCGTATAATCATTTTTAATAGAAACCGTATCTTAATTTGTTCTTGCACTGTATCATATCGTGTATATGTGTAATGTGTATATGTATAAATGACTACACTTATACCGCATATTCTGCAACAGACTATAATTAATCACCTTATTATTGTCTCTCCATTTACCATGGCTGACTGCACTAATCCCTTTTAACAGTGGACACCGATATCAGTATACATGTAGGCTTTTTGTTCAAAAAGGAATATGCAGGAAATTATATGTGACAATTAACTGTGTACTAATTACATGTTTGAATGTTGTCAGTTTTACGTTCTGAGATACAGTAATGTAAGCATCTTCTACAATTAACAATACATGTATATAATAAAATACAAAACTCTCTGCCGTAATTTTTTGTGGAAATCATTCGATCAAGTAAAAATGACTGCGTGACATGACGAATCAACTATTTATACCCGATAAAAGAAACTGCCTTATTTTAGGAACAGTGCTATAACAGGACATTTGAAATTTCTAACAAGCAGATACATTAGAGACAGTGACTAGACTACAGGTACGTAATCCGTATCAATCAAAGGTGTAAAAAAACTGAAAAATCATATCTGTCGGAGACCTACCAAATTACCAAGTTTTATCATTACTATATTTATTACAATGCAAATACTTTAGTGATACATTTTTCAGAGGAGAGGGCATACACACAAATATATTGCTTCCGTGTGTGAATGCAGGTTGTACTTGGCTTCTCAGTTCTCAGTTTCATACCGGTTGTATAACTGAATTTGTATATGGAACCATGCGTACAGCATGACAATTACTTGCTATTCGTCAGTTTACGACACACATAACACGGTCAAACAATTTTGGACACCGCTTTTGCAAGTTATTTAGTACAATAATGTTTTATTAAAATCTATTTCAATTTGTTTTCACCATTTTCCCTATTGACAGTCGTTGTTACGTGCGTCACTAGGTAATTAGTACGGCATTGACCTTGATGATTGTTATTATACTTTGAGGATTTCTGTGGCCAGAGGCGGACGTAGTTCAAACTCCTTCCGCACTGACACCGCATCAAATATAGTTGTGTACCGATTACATGACTCTTATGGACAAGGTGGAGTGGTAGTTCACCGGACGACACTGTGTATATTGGGCGGCTCCTTTGATATCTCCTCCAAACATACGTTTATTGAATGACCCCATTAAACGATGATACACATCTCGATGAATATATCAAGGCACTAATTCATCTTTCATAATTATTTTTTTGTCTTTGTGCTTAATATATTCACATATCAACGAACATTTGTAAAACATGTATCCACAAAAAAATAAACATTTTCAGGCTAGGTATTTGACCACAGCTACACCTGCATAACTGTTTATTTACGCGTGGTGTGGTAGATCGTAATTGACCGAGAGCAGGTATTGTAGAATCACCTGTAAATAAGGCCGACACTGTAATTAGATACAACGTACTAATGAGAATTATCATAAGAAGGCTGGGTTTTTTTCTGAACTGTTACCATTTTCATACCAAAAGTGACAATGCAGTTAAAATTTGCTTTAGTGTCACAATATTCACTCACGTTTTCCTCAATCGCATTGAAACATAATTCCCACTGGTCAGTTCGACACCGCATGTAATTAAATAATTATTTCGAGATTTCGTTAGAATGTAAGATATTCAGCCAAACGTTATGCAATAAAAGACGAATAGTTTTTTTCATTAAAATACGCGCACGCGTACCTGTATATTGCATACCTAGTGTCACGTAATTGCCTAGTGTGATGTATCAACGGGACATAAAAAGGGAAATGAAATAGAAACTAACTAAACTTTAATGTTGTGGAAAATAACTCCAATGAATTGGAGTACACGCACATGAATTCGTATGATAAACTCTCAAAACGTTTTGAGAGGTAGGGCCGGGTTTATTAAAGATCGCTACAATATGTAAAACAGGTCAAATTTGTACAACTTCTATAAAGGAAACATCCAACCAAATGCCCTTTTTAAATAGTAATGTAATGATATAATATAAAGTATATTTCACATGATACAATATACTTTGCACACATTTAGTTTTAAAGGGACTGACGAAATATTTTAATAACGCCGTAAAATAGCTGAATCATGTGTCATGCTTGTAGACACACCATTATGTATTTGCGAAACTGAAACTGTTGAGCAAAGGAAAATATTTCCGCCCATGGGCCAAACTTTCTCGTCCAGAGCGAAATATTTCAATAACGCCGTAAAATAGTTGAATTAAGTTAAAATTTGTTGAATTATGTGACATGAAACTTCTAAGAACACCTTTATGTATATGCGACACTAAAACACAAGTTTTGAGCAAAGGGAAATATTCTCGTCCATGGGCCTGCCCCTAGGCCAAACCTTTTCTCGCCCATGGGCAAAATATTTCAATAACTCTATAAAATAGCTGAATTAAGTAAAATTGAGTTACATTATGTGCCATGAAAATGGTAAGAACACCTGCTTTGAGTAAAGGAAAATATTCTCGCCCATGGGCAAAACCCTTTTCTCGGCCATTGGCGAAATATTTCAATATCGCTATAAAATCGTTGAATTAAGTTAAAATGATTTAAATTTGGTGTCATGATACTTGAATAAATACATTTAATGTATTTGCGAAACAAAAACATGAGTTTTGAGTGAAGGAACACATTCTCGCCCATGGGCCTGCCCATGGGCCAAACCTTTTTCTCGCCCATGGGCGAAATATTTCAATATCGCTATAAAATCGTTGAATTAAATTAAAATGAGTAAAATTTTGTGTCATGATCTTGAATGAATACATTAAATGTATTTGCGAAACAAAAACATGAGTTTTAAGTAAAGGAACATATTCTCGCCCATGGGCCAAACCTTTTTCTCGCCCATGGGGGAAATATTGCAATATCGCTATAAAATCGTTGAATTAAGTTAAAATGAGTTAAATTTTGTGTCATGATACTTGAATGAATACATTTAATGTATTTGCGAAACAAAAACATGTGTTTTAAGTAAAGGAACATATTCTCGCCCATGGGCCTACCCATGGGCCAGACTTCGCCAATGGGCAGGCCTATGGGCCACACACACATAACACATATGGGGACATAGTCTAAATATTGAGTTTTTGAACAATTATTTTTTAATTTTTTCTTCCTTGGTATGTTCCCATGAAAACAGCATGTTTAATTTTGTAAATACCTTTAACCGAGACTGGGCAAAGACCGTAGAGTTTCTGGACTTTTGGGTTTCCAGAATTAAAATGGGACGTGTTATTTATAGGATCGTTACTACAAAATGATAATTTGCACACACATACAATATTATGTACATGAAAACTGAAGATGTTATTTCTTCAATCAGCTAACCTTCACCGGCTCTGGGCAAGTCCCATGTGTTGAATCAGAGTGTCGTTGTCGATGTAGTTGCGGACGCCATTGACACAGTATCTGCCATACCAGAGTCGTCCATGTAACTTCTGTCTTGAACAAACTTGTTCTGTGAGACGTTGTGTATTTCCACCATTGCCAGTGTGTCTTCGACACCTGCTGCTGCTCCTTGGTCGTGATATTTATGTGTTGTGTCTGGTTCTTGTGCTGGTATATTGACGCAGAACACGTCTTTCTTTTTCTCTTCGATATCCAACTCCTGCAACGTTAAGAAAAATGAATTACCAACTGGTTTAAATACACACTATCCTTTGAAATGAAAGCTGAACACATTTAGAGAATTGTCAAAAATATCTGTGAGTACCATATACTCTGATGCGCTTAGAAATGGTCCCAAGCAACCTATGCTAGTACGAGGCAACAAATTGTGTGCCCCTGTTACATGGTTCATTGCGTGGCATCGTACCTGACGGCAAGGGGCGTTGTTCAAAGTAACTGGATTGTCTGGTCAATTACTTAAAAGACGCCGTCATTATGATGGACTATTTGCTAAGTGTGATGAAAGACAACAAACAACCAACGATATGCCAAAATAACTCGATCTATTGTACTCCTTACCTGATCAACCAAAGTCTCATGTCAGATTTCCTAAGACTTTGGGATCCAAGGGTCACGATTACTCCTAGTAAATCAAATCAAATTATTCAGTTTGGCGGGAGAGATATATTGTTTACTTTATTCGATTGTTGCATATATCTACTAATTAGTAGGTATATGAAGTATATACAGAGCCTCTCTTCCTAATTTTGGACCATGCTTTAAACAAGCGTTTGTCATCACTTTACCCGTACTCGTGGGTCTTATCAAAAAAAGCCTCAGATCTGCAACACCTAAGGCTTTCCCCACACATGAATCTGACACGTCGTGATAAAAGTGACATAATTGTTGAAAGCGGCGTTACACTCAGGTCACTCACTCACGCATGCATATACCAATGATATCCTTGAGCTAAAGGTATTGGGGTCAGATGTGAACGAAAGTGTTCCGTTATAGTAACTGTTTTCAGATTTGCTCACCTACATTGCTACATAGAGATAATTTTTATACAAGCCACACATGACACTTTTGCCCTCTTTTAACTCAAACAAGGATCTGAACTAACGCAGACAGTGTCGGCATACAATTGTGAAAATACATTGTGATCGCTGTATGAAGATGATATTCAATCACACTTATTTAGACTTACTTTATCGGCGTCAAGTAGGGGCATCTGTGGTTCATTCATTCGCCTCGACTTTGAAGGATTATAGACCAAGAGGACGAGTAAAGCCAGCACCACCAAGAACAAAGGAGGTATCACTTTGATGGCACAGTGGTCGATTACGAGATTGTAGCACACTTGATTGACGAACATTGCACTTCCAGGTGGGCATTCTGTGACACAGCTGCCATTGTAGATAAATACATTCTCCTTTGCATAGCATAAAAGTTCAAGTATACACACAGAGCCATTCAAAACTGTGTCTCTTGGGCACACGGAATGGCATGTACCTTGGAATAAAAACTTGTACATGTATGGTGCCTCATCAGGACAGACTGACAGGCATACTCCCTTGTACACAACACCGGTCAAACACAAGAGTTCGTTGACACATTCAGACCCTTTTCTGATCAAATCTGTTGGGCATTTAGAGAGGCACTGGCGATTATGTTTATATGGAGCATTCTGAGGGCATGATAGTAAACACGAACACCGCAATTACAATTAATTACACAGTCAAATTCCTTTCTTAACATTCCCGGTGGACAAGAGGAGAAGCATTTCCCATCGTGTTTATATGGGGCATGCTGAGGGCATGATGGTAAGCATGAACCATTGTAGATGACACCGCCATTACAATTTATTACACAGCCAAATTCATTTCTTAACATTCCCGGTTAACAAGCGGAGAAGCATTTCCCATCGTGTTTATATAGGCCAATGTCACAAGGGGACATTTTGAGACATTGCTCAAATTCTACTGTATACGAAATCCAAGCATTTTCTAAAAAATAAAAGCGACAAAACCCTTTCCATATTTATAAGAAATCTCTGCCAAAAGCAGAGTCGATTGTACGGCTCACGACTATATCGTGAGCTTGTTTCATCAAATAGTAATGATACCAGGTGAGATGAGGTTAGAATATGTAAGTGTATGTGGAGTAATGCAATTACGAAATAAACGACCCGTGCCCGTTGTTTATGGTACAATAAAACACTGCAGGGAGAATAAAACCACTCGGGGCTGCGCCCCTCATGGTTTATCTGTCTTCAGTGTTTTATTGTAAGATAAACAACGCCCACGAGTCGTTTATTTCTTATATGATATATCCACATTATTGACAGTTCTTTAAGGATGACGATACATTGTACAACAGATTTACCCGTTTTTAAATAACGATGACTTCCTCAAAAGAATCCGACCTCGGCAATGTCGAACAAGTCCATTTTATGACAACCTTAGTTTGTCCCGCATATACTCACAACCCTCACTTCGATTACCTGTATGATAGAATAATGTTTTATCGTGAAATAAACCACGCTTCGTTCTTCATTGTCCTTTGCGATTTATCGCGTAGCTATCTTTTATGTGCGGTTAGAGTATAAATATCTAAATCAACACATGTTGTATCTTATGGTTGTGCCAAGCGTCAGCGCCACTTAAAATGTCATTCATGAAATGAACTGAACAGTTCGATTCAGAAAGTATTGTCATACTGGATAATTCATATTTGCAAACAAAAAGTGGTCTTGAGGTAAATTGAGGATCCAGATCATTCCATGTCAATTACTAATCCACATACTCTGATTGGTTAGAATTTGGGCGACCTCTCTTGTATGTTAAGGTCAAGGTTATTCGAAAAGGTCATGTTTATACCATGTCCTAGCAATAGTCGACCCGTGAAGATCCGGGGTAGAAAAGGTCTTCAGCTACCCATGCTTGCCGTAAAAGGCGACTATGCTTGTCGTAGGAGGCGACTAACGGGATCGGGTAGTCAGGCTCGCTGACTTGGTTTATGCATGTCATCGATCCCAATTGCATGATGTCAATCACTGGATTGTCTGGCCCAGACTCGATTATTTACAGACCGCCGTCATATAGCTGGGATATTGCTGAGTGCGGATGGACTCATCACTACCCGAAAGTGCTTCATAAACGCATGCTTTTGATATAGTCGGAATTCTACAATGAACTTCTTATGATTATGGAAATAGTTTTGCCGCTTTCATTTATGTTACAGTTAGAATGGTTTGTTTGTTTGTTGTTGTTTTATCTGGAAGCATTAAACAGTTTTAAATACTTGTAATTTCGTCCATGTAGTTTTGTTTGTGGGTAATTTAACGAAACACTGAGCAATATTCCATCTGTATGAAATGGTCATTATAAATTATTGAGTATGGACCAGACAAACCAGTGATTGATATTCTGAGCAACGATCCACGCCATCAGGTTGCGATGAAACACAATCAACCCGGTCACCGAGTCAGATGTATTGGGTCTTCTCGTACAATAATTAAGTGAAAGTATCAATTTAATATTATCATGGAAAAGACATCCTATCAGATCTGTCCAGAAAAACCAAGGCTCTGAAAATTGTCTATGTTCATTAAAAAAATCTGTGATACATTTCGAACGCCTCCGTGGTCTACTGGTAGAGCCTGGTTGAAGGTCGTGAGTTCGATTCCCGGCCGCGGCATACCAAGAAAGGTGAGTTCCATCCCCGGCTGGAATATTGCTGGAATATTGCTAAAAGCGGCGTACAACCACACACACTCACTCACAAGAAGAATGATATGTGAATGTACGCGACGCTAAACCCTATTTCACGTCACCTCACGTTTTGCACATGTGGTTGTTGTGTCTGTTCATGTATCTGTACCAGTTACTAGTGACATGAACTATTTTGTGTGGCCCATGAAAGCTTAGGAATGGATCAACCGAGCTTATCTTAGCTCCATTTCAGAATGTTCAGATCTGACTGGTTCACGTCATCTTGATAAAAAATTGGGAGGGAAATACATTTCTGAGCGGGAGAATATATCCCTTATATCCAGCCACGGAGACAACAAGCTGCATGTGGATTTCTGCGCGGGAGAATAAATCATTAATACCCCGCCACTAAGAAAACAGGCTGCACGTGGATTTCTGAGCGAGAGAATTAAACACTCATACCCCGCAACGAATCAAAACGCTGCACGTTTCTTACGAGTCAATGACACAAGTTAACCTCAGCTCAACAGATATTTTCTATCAATTTTCAATTTGTTTTAAATATCTTACAATGGCAGATTGACACATGTGGGCAAGATCAATTCGTTGTCGTTGTATCGCTCTGGATATAAGTGGTTTTATGCAGCCTCCGACTCGTGTCATGAAATCTAAAGCTTGACACATAAAACCGCATATACCCCTCGTGATAATGCTTATACTTATAACATATTGTTACATAAAGGAGAGGTTGGAAAGACGGAGAGAGCATGCAGGGAACCTCTGCAAATAGACCGTCTAAGCGGTGGACATGGCAGAACCCCTGCAGCTATACACCAATGTGCAGTGTATTTATGTATGTGCTACGCTAATATGTGATGGCGGGTGTTGAGGTATCAACATCGTCAGAGATGTAAATAAAATATTGAGATATCTCCTGCACAATCATTTTCGAGTTATCAATCAAACTTATGATGTCCCAGATGGAGATCGGTTGACATAGACGAGAGCTGTTGTAATGTTACAAGAAAGAATATTCCCGTGTGTGACGATACTCCCCACTAGTTATGTCCTCAGTCGCACTCTCCATAAGTGGTGTCATTTCATTCCATTCCATTTAGACAAAATTTGGGTAAACTGGGTAAAAAGAGAACAGAAGTTTAAACATATTTTATTGAGTAAAAAGTAAAAAAAAAATGGAAAAAAAGTGGCTCACTTATGTGACCCACTCCATAAAAGCATTGTTAATTGCGATAGATCAATGTACACACACACACACACACACACACACACACACACACACACACACACACACACACACAAGATGTATATAGAATAGATATACACTAGATAGACCCACTCGTCCAGTGTAGCAGGCTCAAATCAACCCCATACAAATTCACTCCGGAGTGATTTCAGCTTCGGTTCAAAGCACTCTATAGGTCTTCAGCAACCCATGCTTGCCGTAAAAGGCTACTATGCTTGTCGTTAGAGCCGACTAACGGGATCGGATGGTCAGACTCGCTGACTTGGTTGAAGCAGGTCATCGATCCTAAATGCATGATGTCATTCACTGGATTGTCTGGTCCAGACTCGATTATTTACAGACCGCCGTCATATAGCTGGAATATTGCTGAGTGCGGCGTTAAACAACAAACAATCCAACCAATCAAAGCACTCACGGCTCAGATCACGCCCCTCTGCTAGGCCCAAACCACTCAATAAAAATAAGTGTCATATCTCTCAAATAGTTAGGATAAAAGTAACTTTGTTATAAAAATTATATCAGGGGTAAGCTTCGACGCATGAATATAATAAGATGCGTTTATACAATTGTTATGTACAAAATATTTGTCTGCATGTAATTGTTTGAAGGGAACATGCACTTTTACCGCACAGTATCGACCCAACATGTACACACGCGCTAAGAAAGGTACCATATATAATTACATCATTTCCATGTAGGAATAATATATATATATAAAAATCATAAACATTAAAAATACATACAAAAAACATAACTGGTTCAAGTTTTGTATACAAATTCTTACTCAACAGTTCATTTCAGACATAAGCACGTTTCTTTGAATTGCCAGCACATAGATTTCATCAGTCCCAAATGAGACAGTTCTGGTGTTAAAATATTCGCTTTTTTCGTAAGTTTGTAAAGAATGAACAAATAAATATGAAGTTACACGGATCCACATAGCCAGGGCGTTTCAGGTTACATAATGTCTGAGAAAGCGGCGCAACAACATGAGGCGTTGGCAACATGGACATCCCACGCCACCAACCACACGCGCCTCCAATAAATCTATTAATTGATACACAAACATACCCGAAAATACAATGAAACATAGACATTTGAAATAGCAAGTGGAGTCATATTTGAGCCCGGGGAGTCATTTGGTTATAATAGACGGGATTATAATAGAATGTGAAATTATTCTGCAATAGCAGAATTTTTAAGTATAATTAAGACTTGGAGATACAGAAAAGAGCTGAAACATCAAAGGTAATCAGGCCCATGTAGAAGATGAGTATCCTTTTGTAATAATTTGTAACCGGTGCCACAATTTGAGATGCTGTTTGTTTGTTTGTTTGTTTGTTTGTTGTTTAACGCCGAACTCAGCAATATTCCAGCTATATGTCTGTAAATAATCGAGTCTGGACCAGACAATCCAGTGATTAACATCCTGAGCATCGTTCCACGCAATTGGGATCGATGATATGCATCAACCAAGTGAGCGAGCCTGACCACCCGATCCCGTTAGTCGCCTCTTACGACAAGCATAGTCGCCTGTTACGGCATGTATGGGTTGCTGAAGACCTATTCTCACCCGGATCTTCACGGGTTTATTTGAGATGCAAATATATACCACGTAAATTCTATAAACTTTTTTATAACTGGATATACATCCAAAAATGGACAATTGTGAATAACTGAAAATTGTGACAGCTTATGACAGTCCCTTATCCTGAGATGAAATTAATTTTAAAATATTTCTTTGTTACCTGATCTTACATCGTGTAAGCAAAAGCTTTAGCCATACCATATATACTTTAGATATATACAACTATAAATACATGGGTCAAATCATGTCCAAGAAAGCAACTTATGTGCAATTAAAAGAAATATGATAACAACAAGCCAACTGAAGACAATAACCATATAGAACAAAGAAACAAGCAAGGAAATAAACAAACAGGCGTTGTTACAAAAAGTTAATTCTTAGTAAGAAAGTAAGATAATAGCACCCAATTACAAATTCAGGACAGCAACCAAAATACAGAAAATACACCTATTCAGAGCAGATTAATGTAAACTGGTAACCATTGGCTGAAAAGCCAATGGAGATAGCCACCAACCAATCATTTTCACTTTCTTCATTCTGGTCAATTCAGTTTGTTCCATCACCAAACACAAAAGCATCATCTCTGTGCTGGATCAAAGATTCGTCTTCTGATGTTACTTGTAACAACAGTACATCGTCATGGTCTCTTCGTGGATGGATAATCCCGTTATTGAAACAGTTCGGAACTTCATGGATGTCTCCATTGTGACTCAAAGCAGTTGCTTTCTGAGAAGAACTTCGCTGTTCTTGCAATGACAGCAGCTCTTCATCTATCCTAATTGACTACCATGTTTTCTTCATCCGGAAGTTCAGCGCGGTCTTGCTGTTGTCCGGCGAGATTGTCAAACGTCACTAACTCCAGCATATCACACTCTGTGAGCTGCAATGATAAATTGTGCAACACGTTTACACAACTACAAAAGGTCTGACACAGAAACGAAAACATCAGATGTACAACATTAATGTACATCGTAGGGAGGACGTAAATTTCAGAATTGAGTTTCACAATGTATTAACCAATGTATATATCACACACACACACACACACACACACACACACACACACACACACACACACACACACGCACGCACGCACGCACACACACGCGCGCACACACACACACACAAAACAAACAAACAAACAAAACAACAACAAAAAACAAAAACAAAGAAACACAAAACAAAGAAAACAAGACTGACGCATATGCATATTTATCTATATATCCATATTTATCGACATCTATATCTATATACATACATCAGATTATGTTATTATTCTCAGTCAGTTCGTGGTCAGGCCAACCCGGTGGTTAATATCATGAGCAAAAAGCAATGACACATAATGCACATACATATATCCATGTATATTTTAAGGCTGACCAGAGTTCATCTGTTACTCCTTATCCTTATATCTTACATAAACACTACACTTGCTTTACATTCAATATACAGGTTTATCGATGGAAGTGGAGCTAACATTTATACTTACCTGTTCTCTTTGAACTTTTTGCGGTGCATTCATTTCCCTTGATTTCTTAGGATTATAAACCATGAAGAACAGACACATCAGCACCGTCAACATCAGAAATGGCGTAACTTGAATTGCGCTATACACGTATATCAAGGGGTGACAGACGTAATCTGTGAAACCTGCACTACCAGGTGGGCATGTTGACACGCAACTACCACCGGCGATGTAGAACTTTTTCTCCTGACAATCATATTGATCAATGCATTTTTCCTGATAAATGTAGGTGTCCGGTGGACAAATGGCGTAACAATTGCTGTCCTTTCTGTTTGGTGCCTCTTGGGGGCAAGATGATAAGCATGATCCGTTGTATAAGACATTTGAGCACTTGTCATTTTCTAGGCAGTCAAAACCTTTTGCGAAGAACCCTGACGGACACTGCGACAGACAGTTTCCGGAATGTTTATATGGGACATGAGGAGGACAATGTGGCAAACATGATCCATTGTATTTGACTGCGTCTGTTATCGTTGAGCAGTCGGATATAGAAACACATTTGTTGTCTGGGAATACGCTTGTGTTTGAAGGACATTCCAAGATGCATGTGTTGTGTAATTTAAACTTAAACGTTGATGGACAATCATGAAGACATTTGGATTCATGAAAAAACATCCCTTGCCCCTTGCACTCTTGATAACTTACACAGTTCATATCAGGCAAACCAACAGTTTCCTGTGGGCACGTTTGGTAGCAGTGGCTTGACCTGTTGTATGGAGCTTCTTCTGGACATGCTGTTGCACATGTTCTGTTAGATACCATTTTCTTCATCTCTATACATTCGGATTCGCCAATGCACTCGAATTTCCCTGGGGCTGTAACAATAAAGTCATCTGGGCAGGCAGGCTGGCAGAGGCCATTGGCTACGTAGGGTGCTAGGCCATTACACTCGGACACACATGTTCTGTTGGCTATAAACCTATGGGTCATTATACAAGTAGAAGGATCAACACACTGCATGTCAGCGACTACAGTTTCATCTGGACAAATTGTAACACACGTTCCGTGATGGTTTAAAGGTGCAGCTTGTGGACAGGCATCAACACAGGTATTGTTGAAGATGACTTTAAAAAGGTAGATATGTGCACCTGTGCATTGTTGCAAACCTATGCATGTTTCATCATTCAACACAGTGTTAGGAGGGCATGTCGAGTAGCAGATGCTATCTACTGCATAAGGAGCTTCAGGAGGGCAGGTGGCAATACATTCATTTCGGAAACTGACCATATTTCGGCCAGCAAAGTCAGAAATGCATTCAGTCCCAAGAACACATTTCCCAGTCGGACAAAGTGTTGTACATGATCCCTGGTCACTGAACATAGCTGCAGCTGGACAGACAGGAACACAAGTATTGTTGTATATGAATTGACCCAGCCTGCGAGTACACTCCTGTTTTGATAGACACTGGTTTCCATTTACCGTGACAGATTTGTCAGGTGGACATGAGGAAAGACAGACACCTTGTAGGATAGACTGCTTGTCAGGAGGACAAACTTTAACACATGTCATGTTGTCTATGAAATATCCCCTCTCTATACAGTCTGACGGTGACAAACAATCGGACCCGTTCATAACAGTATCAACTGGGCATGCCTTACAACAAGTCCCATTTGTCTTGAAAGGCATGGAGGAAGGACAGGACGGCACACAGGTGGCATTAAACAGGACCTGGTTGTTATGGGACACACAGTATGTCCCATTGAGGCAACGCGATCCTACCATGATCGTATGTGCCGGACACGTGTTGTAGCATGTGGAAGTGTCCTGTTGGTAAAGCGTCCCGGGGGGACAGGAATGTACGCATGTTTTCCCATACACCACACGCGAGCTTTCTCGACAATCCTGTGCACTAAGACACATGACCTTAGAATCTGTCCACGTCTGTAGCGATGTTGGGAGGCAAGGATCAATGCATGTGTTTCCATACACCAAACGCGATTGCATTCGACATCTATGTACAGTAGTACACCAACTCGTACCAAGCGACAGAGGTTCTGTTGGGGGGCAAGGTTTTGCACCTACCCCACAACCGGACAACAGCACACACAATACCAAAATGGACAACATCTTTACATCTGTTTTAATGGAGGAGCAACTCAGACACACTAGTCTTCTTGTGATTCAAACATCCAGGTGTTGCTCTCTGAAAAAAAGAGGATAAATTATTTTAAATTTGACAAGGAATGTCTACATGATGTATCTTTTGGTATATGAGTGACATTAAATAGTCTAATCTTTAATATATCAGCCATACACCAACGGGCCCATTCAGTTTACTAAGATAGCAAATCATGTATGCAAAAATACAGTTTGCATTATGTTGGTTGTTACTTTACGCTGCACTCAGCAATATTCCAGCTATATGACGGCGGTCTGTAAATAATCGAATCTGGACCAAACAATTCAGTGATTGATATGATGAGCATCGATCCACGCAATTGGGATCGGTGACATGCTTTAACCAAGTCAGCGAGTCTGACCACCCGATCCCGTTAGTCGCCTCTTACGACAAGCATAGTCGCCTTTTACGGCAAACATGGGTAGCTGAAGATCTATTCTACCCCGGATCTTCACGGGTCTTTTCATTATGTTGTATACTGATATTAAACAGTTGATCTGATTGCTTCCAAACGTTATATGGCACGAGACGATTGTTCAATAAAGCAAAGGAAATACCAGAAATACATATAACAACAAAATTAAGAATTGCATAGTCTGATAGGTATATCACTTAATCACATTGTAACCATTGGCTACTCAGACTATTTGCGTGTTAGGGACACATATTATGTGATAGTTTGTGGATTTGTGTTTGAAATATATTTTTTTCCCGAAACAAATTAACACAAATAATTTCTGCTAAAAAAAGCAAACTGTTCTCAGAACATGCTTTATGTGAAAAAAACCCATTCAGCGTCACCTTTATGAGGAATAGTTATGTTTTGAAACATTGACCTTAAAACATATGCTGTTTCTAACAACTTTATTTCCTTGTGTAGAATTGAGGACATTGAGGAAATGAATGCTGACTTAGTTTTGTGAAATGAAAACGAAACAGAGAGTATCCGTCCTTGGCGTGTGTCAGCTGAATTATACCACGTGACGTGGGCCACGCAGGCGATGCGGTTTAGGGACGAGGCGTTGCCGTGAATCGTCTTACATCGTTACAGAAGAATAGCGACCCACCAAGACATAACTTTGCTTGTCGTACAAGGCAACGAACGGGATCGGTTGGTCGGGGTCGCTGACTTGGTTGATGATGCATGTCATCGTATCCCAATTGGGTTGATCGATGCTCATGATGTCAAGCACTAGATTTTCTTGATTATTTACAGACCGCCGTCATATAGCTAGAATATTGCTGAGTGCGGCGTTAAACAACAAACAAACAGACAAAAATGGAAATGGGGTTCAAATATACAAAGTGTGGAGAAAAGTATTCCAACCTGACTATGAGGTCAACGCAGGAACTTAGGTTTTCAGTTAGTGTACTTTGATTTAACAAAAATCACGTCATAACCATTTGGAGGCCAACACGCACCCGCTCCCGTAGTGCCATCTGGCGACCCCTGAAGAACCGGGGTGGAATTGGTCTTCAGCAACCCATCGCATTGAATATATATATATATATATATATATATATATATATGTTTATTCATGTATGGGAGGCCATAGGCCTGTTTCAAGGTTAAAAATGCATCTCAAAAACATTAGAAAATGGTAACAAATAAAACCGTTATAGCTTGCAATGAGGAGTTGCATTAGATATAGTTTGTGACAGAGAACTGTTAGTTCGATAGGAATCAATAGATAAAAGCCATTTCATATTTATCACAAGTGTATTCTTGACATTTCATATTTATCATTGGACTGGTTAGTTAATGAAACAAGAAGAGATTTTCAAGATATACATTTAGAGCATCCGGGGCAAGTCACAAGATCAATAGAGAGTTGAACAATCTGGTACTTAGGCTTCTGTATTTTTCCGATTACGACACACATGAGTTCATGGTCAGAGCTAACTTTTAACGAATCAAAATGAGGTATTGTGACATGTGACAAAGACAGGCCAGGCAGGCCCGAACACTATAAAATGATACTTTACACATTAGGAGAAGAGAGCATGGATTGCAATCGATCGAGTCGAATCCCGATCGTTCTAAGTTTTCACCAGTTAGTCACGAGTCTAGCCGGTCTGATCCTGTCCTGTATTGAAAGATGGGATGAGAGTAAGTAAAACTATGTGAGTATAAAGCTGGTGTTGCGTTTCTTTATTATGAGAGTATGAATGCTGATGGGGACAACTTGGAGTAAGCGTCTTTAGACCAATCACTCCTTGACGGAGCCGATGCTCACCAGGCGAGTTGCACAGTCATGGCGTAATTGACCACGAGGACCAGGAACGGCAATACATTTAGAAACTATAGTAGGGTCGCACTTGAGGCCCGAAAGCGGTTACGACAGGCCCATGTTCATTTCAGTTATATATAGTAACACACAATTGTGGCAATTTACATTGAAAACAATACTAAGGGTACAATATTAAGTCTTTGTACGTAATAATAGAGCTTCCTCCACATACATGTACTTAGCTAAATTTCTGAGTATACAGTCATTTTGGCTATTTAAGAGATTGCTAAAAGTATTAATACATGGGTTGTTACATAATCTTACAGGAATATACTTTTGTTTTAATGATGCGTAACACGGGCAGACAAACACAAAACGGACTTCGTCTCTTCAATCACGTGCTGTCACATAACATTTTCCTCGGAAGGATGGTTTGTTTATTGGTTTGTTGTTTTACGCCGCACGCAATTGGGATCGATGACATGCATCAACCAAGTCAGCGAGCCCGACCACTCGATCCCGTTAGTCGCCTCTTACGACAAGCATAGTCGCCTTTTACGGTAAGCATGGGTTGCTGAAGACCTATTCTCACCCGAATCTTCACGGGTCAGATGTCTTCATCAGTATGTATTGATGCATTATATTATTTCAGAATAAGTTTATTTTCATTGAACTTTATGTATGAAGCAAAGTTACATTTTCCCTTTATTATATATCCTCAGTATGCGTTTATTAATCCCAATCAATTAGTGATAATACCAGGTGTTCGCGAAAAGGTTTGCGTATCGTACCCCACCGGTTGCATCCGTCACAAATACATGCAAGGGCATGTCAAGTGTTCGCCCATACCACAAGAGCGTTACCAAATGAGTTAAGACCCATTGTGTGGAGAACGAGCAACGCACATTAAACGCATAACAATTTGCAAACTCACACGACAATGACGATAGATAAGGCAATTTTACAAAATCGTTTTCCTCATAACCAACTGTAATCGGATTTACAAAATCGTTTTCCTCATAACCAACTGTAATCGGATTTACAAAATCGTTTTCCTCATAACCCAGTGTAATCGGATTAACCCACCATTGTAAATGTCACATGTCACACCTTATATGCTTCATAATTTGGAAGAGCAGATCTAGCACAAATATTTAGAGAATAAGGAAATAAGGATTGTGTGTCTTGAATGAAAATAAGGTTCATGTAATCTGCAAATCCGAGTGTCGACAGAGTTATTTTTACATTACCCAAATATGTCCTATGTGGGCATCTCTTACAATACCTAACCCCCCCCCCCCCCCCCCCCCCCAACACACACACACACACACACACACACACACACACACACACACACACACACACACACACACATACCTTCGACAGGCATGAGATGTATATTCATGTAATTGGCTTCACTATCTGGCTTAAGCAGGTAAGCTATAATGTGGTAAATGGTATAATTGAACGTTGCATCGGCATTATTTCAGCCATATAGTGACGAGACCAAGTTAATATGTTTACGATGGAGTCATTTATGAAAAGTTATATGTAAAAACAATCCATGAAACATATTTTAGCATGATAATATCATGCATACATTTTTAAATCACGGGCTAGAGGCCACCAGTAACCTAAGCTGGTAATGGCTGAAATAATGCCGATGCGACGTTTAATTTTAACTCGATCACTCACTATAATGTGTAGTAGACGAGTATTAGTCCATGCAACACCTACCTTATGTAGCATTAGCATCTGAGATCGTGGAAACACTTTGATTCAAATGTGTATGACGAAACAAAAGAAAGTAGACCCGTCCTTGCTGTAAGGAAGTTGAGTCCGGATGCAGGGTGGGATGGGTATGTGCACGTTGGGGCGAGCTAGCTCATACCACGTGACGTGGACCGGGCAGGCTATTGGTATTGCCACACTATGACCAGGTATGTGAATTGCGCCTTTATTACAAAGGCATGCAGTCATAGCCCTACGATAACACAGACTGCGATACGAGGCCCGACGTCCTGCAGCACACAACATCGATCCCGTGGTTGTCCGGAATGCAGAGAGCCGCCCCTGACAACTAGTGCTTAATGGAACACAATAACCAGGTAATCGCTTTAATTAAGTAGACAACAGTAGATAAAAATTGAAGGCTTCGGCCCCTTGGCTCCTTCTGCTCAATTTACGTACATGCAAGACGTCACAAAGAGGGCGGACCATGATGAATAGATTCGATGGTAGCCTTTTCGCGAACACCTATCATTACCTTTTGATAGTGGTTCATAAACACATGCCCATGATATAGTCAGAATCGTTCCATGGACTCTGCTTTATACAGAGATTTCTTTTGGATATGGAAAGGGTTTTGTGCCTTTATTTAGTAAACAAATAGTAGGCGATAGGTCTTTTGGGTAATGGAAGGGTTCCTTGTGTTTATGCAATGAAGCAATTAGTCGTTGGACCCTTGATGAGAGCAGAACAAGGGATTGTAATGCATTCCGTATAAGGAAGTACTTACTCCGATACAGAAGGAAAATACCATTGAACAAAATTTGGCCATAGACAGCTGTCGCGCGCTGACTTGGGCTGAATGGCACATGAACCTGCTAAACAAACGCATGGGACAATACCCTAGACACTCCCTCAACACTAGTATCTGAGAGTCTTAGAGTGAGTGAGCTTTTTACGCCGCTTTTAGCAATAGTCCAGCAATATCGCGGCGGGGAACCACCAGATATGGGCTTCACACATTGTACCCATGTCGGGAATCAAACCCGGGTCTTCGGCGTGACGAGCAACGCTTTAACCAATAGGCTACCCGACCGCCCATGAGAGTCTAAAAGGGGTTTATTGCTATCCTTGATAATAATAATAATAATAATAATAATAATAATAATAATAATAATAGCCACTCGAAACCATCAATGTGTGATTTTGCATCAAAATGAAAATATGTAGATTATACAATGGATTTAATGAGACTGTCCAACACATTGTCAGTGGATGCCTAGCTTTGGCACAAACACAGTATCTTAAATGATATGTTGATGTGGCTCGTTCATTGTTTGACTGTCTTCGCCATGCTTGTGGTTTTGACACAGAGGTCCATCCATGGTATGACAAAGAATATGTAGAGGCCACATGGTAAATGATAAGTGCAAAATTCTTTGGAATAGGCCCGTATACAGCCCCAGACGTATCCAGGCCAACAAACCTAATCTGAGTGAGTGAGTGTGTGAGTTAGGATTTATAGTCACACCGGCAATATTACAGCCATGTCGTGACTTAATCCACTTATACAGGAATAATGCATAAATATAGACTATAAAACCTGTCAACAAAGGACGGTAAAAGAACTAGAGTATTACAGCTATAACTATAAAACTAGTAAGTAACTATAAAATTTTGACTATTCAGAACAATACATTATAAAAATTGGCTAGAGATCACAAGCAACCAAAGTTAAGCCACCATACCAAGGGACCATGGGGACCCTCGCTTTCGAAATGTGACGCTTGCATCCCAAGTACCAAGTTGTCCAACTCCCCATTGTTCTCGGTGCCTTAGGTTTGGTAACTCCCAATTTGTTGACTGACATTGGGAGAGTACCCGGGTATGCTACAAGGAATACAGCCCTCCTGACAATCTGGGTAATACAGAAGGCTGCAGTGTTGGGGAGTCTCCACATTCTCTGAAAAGGACTTGGTGGGTTTGACCAGGCAGCGCTTCCTGGGAGAAGTCCCATTCGCTGTCTTGGCTGCGTGTAGGGGGTAAGGGCCCTGAGCTGATGATGAGCCTAACCAGTCTGACTGTGCCAGGATCACCCAAACCCTCAAGGAAGTGCAAAGTGAATTGGGACTCATCTGAAAACATGAAAACCAGTGACGTTATGCAACCCCATTGAAGTCTGTTGGCACTTTGACGACTTGTAAGGGGCGGCACAACACGCGGCCGTCCGGCATGTAGACGTTTTCTAATCGTCTGACACGAAACTCAAATAGCCTGATGAAAGTTGAGCAATTTGATTTGCCGTTTTCGGATAAATCGATGCCACACTCTTGTCCTTGACCGGGGATGCCCTGAACGAGGTCGATCGTCAACAGTTTGGTTGTGTTGGTATCTTTTCCATGTTTTGTTAGGCAAGGACTTCAGTCAGTTTCCAGGATGCCAACAGCCAAATGCATCGCAAGTTCATACACAAACAATGAATGAAACCAACTAAATGGCAACTGTATGATAAGCAGAATAAATAAGATTGACAAAAATAATGGTCCACAGATAGTAATCGACCTTCCATGAAAGTGTGAAAAATAGGAATGACACCCTACACCCATGTGTCTGTTACGTGCAAACTATCAGATGTTTTTTTGTGTTCTGTTTTACAGACATTAACGTTCATGTATGGGATGTTTGTCCTCAACATTTATCTTTGGTATAATACTTGGTATTCACATTATTATTTCACGATCCCCTACTTTTTTTAAGAGTATATATTATCTCATCGATATTTGACTGAATGCCCAATGATATGCTCTTTGCATAAACATGTTTAAATCATTGGTGAGGTAAGGTGAAATGCGGTTTAACGTCACGTCCAAGGTTATTGCACTTATAACACGACGTGCATGCACGTGTGTGTGTGTGTGTCTGCTTGTAGTACTCCGGTCTGATGCCCATTAATAGTGCTAGCTCACTGAGATACCATGCCGCAGTTTAACATGAATATCCCACTCAGGGACAGTATACAGCCCCGAGCCGACCAGTCCTTGTTTGAGCCCCTTAATGCCGAGAGCCAGGGTAACAACAAGTACCATTTTATAACGTCTTCTGGCATGACGCGGCGGAGGATCAAACCCTTCCCCTCTCCGGGCGGACGCTCTACCACTAGACCACGGAGGCGGTCTTAAATCATTAGGATAATACACAACGTGGGGATGTTGTGTTTAGATGGTGTTTTGACTGTGAGACGATAGCTCAATTCAAATATTGAAAATGATGATGGCTCTGTTGTATTATATGCAAGTGTAATTTTTAGATCTCTTTGCGTAAATACATTTTGTTGAAACATCTATTTTTGACTCTTGCAGACATTGGAAAAATAAACAATGGCCACATCGAGGGATCTCGATACCCATATCCAGTTGGAAGAAGATGAAGAATATGACTTTGAGCTGGCACAACGCCGCATGGAGGCTGAAAGAGCTGCTAGGGAGGAAGAAGCATTCCAAAGGAACACCCTGAATCTGGACATCCCCCCACTTCCAAATGGAAAAACACACCATCTTTTCATTTCCCATAGTAATGATCCTCCGGAAGAAGCGGAGTGGGCAGAGCAACTGGTCAACACCATGGAGCGAGACTTTGGCTTGAAATGCCTTTGGCCAAAACGAGACTTTACCCCCGGCCACAATGTTGGATCCTTGATACAGAATGGAATCGTGTCTTCTGTGAAGGTTGTCTTCATTCTGTCTCCTGCTTCCATGGAAAGCCGATGGTGCGAATATGAACGGAATTTTGCGTTTGGCATTTCTGTTGAGAACAGGGAAAATCAGATAATTCCTGTAATGTTATGCCAGTGCGACTTTCCAGGCATTCTGAAGACCCTGAATTATATTGATGTACCTGCCGGAGAGGACTATGCATTCAAAATTCGGCGATGCTTTGACGAAGACACACGTACGTTGTATTTGCTTGCTTAATTATACCTTGAATGTTTTTAAACTATGGATGGATAAGATGGCCTAAACGCCCGTTTAAAGAGTATTTAAGTTATAATCGGAATCGCAACTGAATGTTAAGGAAAGATACGCATGTATAATGTAGACGTTTATCAGGTCGGTGTAATCTACGCTCATGGGATTAGAATACGAGATAAGCAGACCCTTGCACATCCAGGGGACATAACTCTGCTAACAAATTGTGATGCCTCAGATGAGTATGCCATCTGTGCAAAATTCCTTTATGACATATTTTAGTGTAGGCCTCTGCTTTATCAACATTTAGGTTAAGCACGTTGGAAGTCATCCAGGATTGTTTTGTCAGCTTTCTATCTTGTTCAAAGATGAAATCTGATTGTCGAGGAGGGGACTGAAACTATCAACCAATTGTTAATCATCTGCATAAAAGTGATGAGCCACATGCTCTTCTGATATCATATGCCCTAATGGTCTTGTGTACAAGGTGAACAAGATCGGTCCCAGTACAGACCCTTGAGACACACCACACGTGAGACTTTCGCTGTTCGACAAAGTCTTGTTTATCTGAACTGACTGTGTCCTGCCTGTTAGGTACGATGAAAATAATTTTTGTTGTGCGTTGAGTTCCAAAATGTCATAAAAAGCGGTACGTGACGAACTGATTTCAGTAAATGACCACAGCAGATGAATGAATAAGTAAGAAAATATTGAAACACAGTCTTAGGTTTACATTCACAAAAGGTGACACAATGGGTCAAATACCGGCAACGGCACAAAGTAACAAGCGTTATTAAATATAAAGGAATGTCCAGAATTTTTCAGGCCTCTGTTCTTCAATCCGGAATAGTGTTGGAAGCTGTAACAGTTTGATGTTTTGAGATGTGTATCAAACCCACGCAAATAATACGAAAGTCAGGTCGTAAAAAGCCTCATATTGCCAACGTGATCGCTCGTAAGCCCAGCCAGGCCATCCAGAAACTTCCCGAACGTGGCATGTTTGTTGTTAACACAAAGGCGGATAACTATAAATAACGCCTTGTGTCGCCGTGTACCGCTAAACATCTGGCAACGACACCGCTGGACATTTTACTAACTCTTCAATCACGTGCTGTCACATAACAGTTTCCTCAGAAGGAGGGTTGGTTTATTGGTTTGTTGTTTTACGCCGCACTCAGCAACACTCCAGCTATATGACGGCGATCTGTAAATAATCGAGTCTGGACCAGACAATCCAGTGATTGACATCATCAGCATCGATCGGCGCAATTGGGATGATGACATGCATCAACCAAGTCAGCGAGCCTGACCACCCGATCACGTTAGTCGCCTTTTACGACAAGCATACGTGCCTCTTACGGCATGCATGGGTTGCTGAAGGCCTATTCTACCCCGGATCTTCAGGGGTCTTCCTCAGATGGTGAATCAATACTTTTATTTAGAAATAATATACTCTACAATAATATCTGTTTGGCTTGCCTAAGGAATGCAGTTCTGTACAGCGAATTGCAGCTCCTTAGACGGCTAGGCCACCCGTGACCTCTCTTAGCTATAAACCGCCTGGACTGCATGTACAGATTCAAAACAGCACAGAGTCGTGTCCAAACACACATACCTATATCGTTTTGTGCATGAATGTTTTGTGCCGTTGTATCCAAGCTATATCAAATCTTGGTGAGGCCGACACATGAGCAAATTTCGTGAATCGTACACTAAATCTGTGGATCACACATATTGTACCCATCCGCTCTCTGTCGGCTTTTTCGATTTGCAAGGGGAACTGACGACCAATCCCACCTTCGTATCCTCAACTTGGCATACATAGTGGAACTATTGTTAAACACATTGCTGGGGGACTTTTTGGTATAGTTCCACAAAAGGGTTAATGCGTTCATGTTTAAGAATTGTGGTCTATTTACAGGAATGGACCAGGGTAAATTGAATCTTTGTTATTCTATGAATAAAAGTTCATTTTTGGTTCAACTATGTTGTGATGTTTAAATTCTTGATTTATTAATCATCCATGTCGATGTCGCAAAGACACCACATGTGTGTCTAAGGTTAAAACACCTTTACACGACAGCGAGCAATTTGCTACAGAATGTACATAGGCTAAGTATACTGAACTGACTTTTTAACAGATTGCCAATAGGCATGTACATTACGTGAAAAGTTCGATTATTACCAGGCTTCGATCTCATTTGACAATGTGTGTTTAAGTTACCATTTGTTTCTTGTACACTAAATCCTCTTTTCAGGAGATTTTGAATATCTTGTTCCTGAAATGATGAAATACTGGAAAAACGAAAAAGGTGAGGGCATAGTCCAGGCACTATATGTTTCAAAGCAGACAAAAATGGCGAGATTGATTAACATTCCAGGTGTGGGAATACATACTGTGGTGTGACATGAATCTGTGATTGTTTAATTTATGCTCATAACTTGACACGCCCACAAAGTCAATAGCTAATCAACGGAGAGTAGGATAAAAACAAAGTACATAGGACCTGTCAGTCAAGGCAAGAGGCGAGAAGAACTGCAACAGTCAAGACTGTAACGCTCCGGACAAATATGTCCGGGAGAAGGCGGCTGTTTCAAATGACATGGTCAATTACCTGCCAGATTCGAACATCAGTTCCCTGAGAACGGGAGGACACGAAACAAAGACATGAAATATTTGTGGAGCGAGCCTGCACGTTTGTTGTTTCATTCCTTTTCGGCTGTCGGGCGCAAAGGATAGTTTGGAAATGAATATGCATGACGATACACGTGAGCAGAAAGGTAGTTCCCTCGACTATAAAATATTGGGATTCCCCGACACTCCGTAGTTTATATAATAGTCCCCGTCGATGGGCGTGGCTTAATGTCTTTACATTCCTTGGGAAATGATAAGCTAATTAGAATGCACGAATTACAGTGAACACAACGAAAATGAAATTATTATTTCATGATATCTCTCTTTTTCCTAATTTTCAAGGGGCAGCAAATGGAACTGTTACTAAGATCATTGGGGAGAAAAATTTGAAATCCACTTGCAGGGGGCCTGCGTATTCTTTTCGAGATCTCGACCAGCACCAACGTTACGAGCTTCGCCAACTTGGAAGCAAGGTAACATGACATATATGACTTGACAATGTTAAACATAGCTCTATAGAATGCAACGTCAGGGAAAATAAATCATGATAATTGAAAAATATTTGTTGTTTGCTTCCTCCTATGACGGGCCTGGAACTTGCACACCTTTGTGTTTATTTCAGTTCGCTGAAAGAGTATATTATGAAGCAAAGGATATTGCCAACACCTCTGCCTGTATGAAGTACTATTCCACCATCCACTCCTTTCGTCACTGTTGCGGCATTTGCTGTTGCGGCACAATATTCTGCATTTTGCTGATGCTGCTAATTATCTGCATAATGGTAGCATCAGATAGGAAAATGTTGAATAGTGACTTTCTTTCAGCTCTTGTTCTAGTCATACCTCTCCTCGGAGCAGGTTTGGTCTATGTTGCACATGTGCAGGTAAGTGCGCATTACTTTGTTACACTATGGTTAAATGGGGTTCTGTCGGTTTTATAATGCTAGCCCACTGAGATATAATGTCGCAGTTTGACATAAATAACCCACTCAGACACAGTATACAGACTTCGAGACGACCACTTTTTCTTTTATTCCATTAATGCCGAGCGTAGGCAAGGTAACAACAATTACCCCAATTAACGGCTTCTGGTATGGCCAGGGGTATCCACTAGACCATGGTGGCGGTCCATCCCTACAAGCACTCCGTGTGGATTCTGTGTTAGTATAGGTCATTAGCACCATATTGTTCGTCGTAAGAAGCGACTAAATTTTTCGGGTGGTAAGACTTGGTGAATTGGTTGAATGTATATTATAATACCCTGACGGCGCGGGGCGTTCCTAATAATATCATTTACTTTTGTCGGGTTCAGACTCTGCTGGAATATTAAATCCAGCATCAAACAAACAAATCTACCATGGCTTTCAGCATAAATTACTCATGTGCCCATTACTAACGCTATTTTCCCTTGACATCTCCGATACTTCAATGAATTATTATTACAATAAAAGTGAGTTGGCGATTTTCGATTTGGTTTAACGCCGCTTTGAACAATAATGATCGTGGTTGGGAAGGTGTCGCAAGTGATGTGGCAACATTGGAGAAATGTACCAACACAGATATGGTGCGAACAAACCAGTGACATGTCTAATGGACCTCTGCGGAGCTCCACCTGTGCAAGTACGACATTGCTGTTCAGGTGTTGATCGTAATGAACCGCTGCCATGTGATGCTCCGTGTGATAGGTTAGCTGTTAAGATTTTCATCTGTGTTTTTCATCTAATGACGTGCTGTCACATGAACATGGTTGCTTGTTTTGACAGATGTTAAAGAGATTGAAAGCTCGAATACAAGCATATTCCCTGAGGCATGTTTTAAGAACCAATATCCTCATCAACTATGAATCAAGCCGCTGGAGACCGACCGTATCCTTTGGAAAATTCTATTAAACTATCAGCATCATCATTATCATCATTGGAAAATTATTATTATTACATGTATTATCATCATCACTGTAGCCACATTAATCCGAACCATAACCATGAATATGTGTCATTCATGTATTCAATGCTATCTTTCCGGGTGGTCGGGCTCGCTGACTTCGTTGATGCACGTCATCGATCCCAATTGCGTGGATCGATGCTCATGATATTAATCATTGGATTGTCTGGTGCAGACTTGATTATTTACAGACTGCCGTCATACAGTTGGAACATTGCTGAGTGCGGCGTTAGACAACAAACAAACCAACCTTGCAAATAAGAAGTGGATATCTTGGAATTTTTTTATCATAAAATTAAATCATAATTAAAGTCTTGTCTCAAAATTGTGCTTGTCATATTTTGGCAGCCACCTGTTTGGTATGTTAGTTTTACTAGCTCCAATAATTGATTCAAAGATACTATCCGACGAAAGCAACTATTCTCTTTAAAATCATGGTTTCATATGGTTGACCTTACAGCTTTCCTTAACATTGTCTTCAGTTGGAGGTCATGTTTTATGACTTACAACCATGTATGGTAAGTATCAAATTGCTATGATATATAGATTGGTGATGTGTGACACCGGTTGTAATGTGTGACTCCTAAAGAAGTGTGTGACCCCCTATGTAGTGTGTGACACCCCGTGTAGTGTGTGACACCCTATGTAGTGTGTGACATCTCTTGCAATATGTGACACTCTATGTTGTGTGTGACACCCTATATAGCGTGTGACACTCAATGTAGTGAGTGACCCCCTATGTAGTGTGTGAGATTGGTTGTAATGTGGGACACCCTATATACTGTGTGACACCCTATGTAGTGTGTGACACTGGTTGTAATGTGTGACACCCTATATAATGTGAGGTACCTTATATAGTGTGTGACACCCTATGTAATGTGTGACACCCTATATAATGAGAGGCACCCTATGTAGTATGTGACACTGGTTCTAATGTGGGACACCCTATATAATGTGAGACACCCTATGTAAAGTGTGACACCCTATGTAGTATGTGACACCCTATGTAGTGTGTGACCCCCTATTTAGTATGTGACACTGGTTGTAATGTGAGACACCCTATGTAGTGTGTGACACCCTATGTAGTATGTGACACTGGTTGTGATTTGAGACACCCTATGTGGTATGTGACACCGGTTGTAAAGTGTGACACCCTATGTAGTATGTGACACCGGTTGTAAAATGTGACACCCTATGTAGTATATGACACGTTATGTAGTGTGTGACCCTTATGTAGTGTGTGACACCCTAATTAGTGTGTGACCCCCTACGTAGTGTGTGACACCCTAAGTAGTGTGTGACCCCCTATGTAGTGTGTGACACTGGTTGTAATGTGAGACATCCTATGTAGTGCGTGACACTGGTTGTAATGTGAGACACTCTATGTAGTGTGAGACACCCTATGTAGTGTGTGACTCCCTATGTAGTGTGTGACTTCCTAGGTAGTGTGTGACTCCCTATGTAGTGTGTGACTCCCTATGTAGTGTGTGACTCCCTATGTAGTGTGTGACACCCTATGTAGTGTGTGACTCCCTATGTAGTGTGTGACTCCCCATGTAGTGTGTGACTCCCTATGTAGTGTGTGACACCCTATGTTATATTTGACACTAGTTGTGACACCCTATAAAGTGTATGACACCGGTCGTAAGTCGTGACACCCCTTGTAGTGCGTGACACTGGTTGTAATGAGCGCAGTCACTTGTAATGTGTGACACCATTTGCAACGTGGGGCACCCTATCTATTGTGTGATACCAGATGTTATGTGTGACACCGGTTGTAAGTGTACAACTCAAATCCGTTAATGCTAACCCACGTGTTATCTGTCCTCAGAATTACCTATGTGACATCATTTACGGGTCACGTGACGGTGGTGAAGCTGTCCCGGACAGAGACAGAGAGGTATCTATATTGATGAAAATACTTTAAAAAGTGAAAAAGTGGAAATATAAGCGACAAAAAACATTTCCATGTTCATAAGAAATCTCTACTAAAGGTAGAGTTCACTGTACGATTCCGACCACATCATAAGCTTAATGCACATTTTTTCTCAGTAAACTTCAGATGTCATTTCCTTCCATTTTTGACAAATTGCAGTGAATCTTTGACGATATAGATGCAACTTTATCTAAGGTCATCATGTTTCCCTTACGTTCGTCGTGTGGGATAGTGGTGTACACATTTGAAAAATCAAATGTTTTCACATAGTTGAACTTGGTTCTGTTCTGAGATTGAAAATTCAAGCAGATCCTTGGAAGTGTCGAGAATCCACATGTTTTAATTCAACTATCATTATAATGTTTAAAAAGCATGCTTGTCAAGCGAATCCGCTGGCTGACCACAGCGATTATATTCGTCAAGTGATAAAGACAAATACCGGCGGCAATCATCCACGTTCTTGGTTTATAATGTTGCATTTGCTTGTGATATCAACATTTATGTTAGCTCCACGATGTAGGAAACACAATCCTGACGTGAGCCTGAATCAGCTGAACGGCAGTAACAAATTGCAATTGTCGACCTATGTGCAACCGCAATGGCAAACCAAACTATGTCAGTCATTTCAACCTAAAACGTGTTGTTTTATCAATGTCAAATAACGTGTCATGGCATTCGGGAAGTGATGCGGCTTTATGTTAACATTCCGCATACTTGTATCCATTCGCACCTTTGCTCTCTTTCATGGCGTTATTTTGTCGAAAATTCATTAAATAGCATCGTTGGTAATAAATAACTCGTTCCCATTTGATATCAAGTTCATGTCCCGAATCGAATGTATTTTGCCTGCCCCGAGTTTTAAGCTCGTTTGATATGTTGTTAAAAGCGGCGTTTAAACCCAACTCACTCATTACCTCAAGTTTATGTCTCGAGTGGAATAAGTTTTTCCTGTCCAAAGCATTCAGCTCGTTTATTATCCTACAGATATTCTATAAAATGCGATGTTCAACCCAAATAACTCACTCATTTACTCTGCCTTGTGATGACGTCATAATGAAATAATTATGTCCTTATTTCAGTTTCAGGATAGAGCACGAAACACTGGAAAACACCAATTACTCTCTTGCATTGAAAGGAATTATGACGATCTATTTGGGGACAGATTTGAAACAAGTGTCATAAACAGGCATCCCACATTACACAAGAAGAAATGCATCTGCGAAATGCTAGAAAAAGAGGTGTTGCAAATGTGTCAAAACCAAATATGAACCCAATTTATGTATGATTCTGGTGACCACTTGTCTCAAGTAGACACAAATCTTCATGTCATCAATATTATTTTATTACCGTCACCTTATTTGACAGTTCTGCAACAAAGCTGGCACAATCAAAAATTGGCAAAAAATCCACAAGAGTGCCCTTAGATTTGATTGTGTGATGGTGATTGTAACAGCTCACTTCCCAGTCGATTATCTATGTCTGGTTCTACTTTTCTTCATATAAATCGTTAAAGGACATGACTCGGGAAGTAATTGAACATCATATCACCAAGCTACATTCAAAACTTAATAACCTTAAAACAAACCACCTATTCCCTCAGGCAGGCAGTATTAAAACGACGGAGATCCCCCGGGTTAAATCATCAAAGTTCGGGTTAAAGTCATTTGCATATAAGGCTTCTCGGGTCTGGAATTGTCTGCCGAATGAGTTCCGAAAATCATAATCATACAAAGATTTCTGCAGACTGCTCCAGAATACGAAAGCCTAATGGTGCCACTTTTGTTGCATGTATATTTGTTTTAAATTGAAATTTCTCGTTATTTCAAGAATTTGTACATTTTCTAGAAATTTCGAGTTTTTTTCTTTGCTTCAATTATTTTCTCATTATTTCAATTATTTCTCGTAATTGCGATTATTTTCTTGTTATTTCAAGCTTATTTCCAAAAACGGGAAATTTCGAGTTTTTTGTCATGACTTCGGTTTTTTTCTCGAATTTCGAGTTTTCTCTCCTTATTTCAAGTTTATTTCAAAAACTCAATTATTTTTTTGCTGCTTCGATATGTTTCTCTCTCGTAATTTCGAGTATTTGCACATTATTTGATTTTTTTGTGGAAAAAGTATTGTGTCATTACTTCGAATATTTTCGATTATTTTCGATTATTTCCTTGTTGATTTAATAATTATATTTTCTACTTATTTCAATTATTTTCTTTGAGATTTTTCTCGTTACTTCGATTATTTTCTTGTCATTTCTATTGTTTTCTCGTTATTTCAAGTTTATTAAAAAAAGAATTGGAACTAGTCTTGTATCTTTTACCTTATACCCTGCTTGCCATGAGAGCCAAGCGAAGAGAATCTGGTGGCAAGGTGACGGCTTGATTGCGTGTTATTTTGCCCTGATTGCGAAGATCGTTTCCCATGTTTTAAGTCACTGGTTTGCAGAACAAGACTTGGGATGTACAGACTGTTGGGATATTGTTGGAATATTGTGAACCACAGCGTTCAAATTTTAAAATGCTGAGTGATTTCCAATATGTCTCCTGTCGTAAAATATGAAGTTGCGTATGCAAGTGCGCAATGAGATCCAAAGTTAAAACCCCCTTTTCTATTTGAACAGTAAGACTAATATATTAAGACTTTAGAAATACCTTTCTTATAAAACAAACGTTTTAAGCAGATCGGGGGGACACCATTAAGAGTAGATTAGCTTGATATTCAATAGGAGCCTGGGAGTATTTGTAACGTACCACACCCAGTATTAGCAGCTCCGACTTCACGCTCTGTTAGTTTTCAACTCTGTTGTACAGCATAATTGTGATATAAGTTTTGTAAAAGTTGTTTTTAGTCATGTTAACATATTTCTCGGCGAGTGTCTTGTTTAACGCCGCGTTCAGCAATATCCCAGCTATTTACACCAAACTAACGTCTCGTCTCACGCCGTTTGGATATTATGATACACGGTCAACCACGTTATCAGGCTTAAAAACCCCATCCATTAAGTTGCCTGTTACGACCAGTATAGGTTTCCGAAGACATATTTTATCCCGAAATCTCCACGAGGACGATGAGTTGTATTTTTAGATGTAAAAGTTATCTGTACTGTTTATTTATAACTCAAATATCTTTCATTATCTGCAATGAAATTAATTTTCTTTACATTGTTTATGTGATATTGTTTCTCAAATAAATAGTTTCATTGAACTGAATTCAATTCTTTATTGTATGAAAGGCCACAGGCCCATATACAACGGAGTTACATAACATATTTATAAAATACTAAGTCAAGGTAACAATTCACTTCGTAACAAAAACGCATGATGTATGTAGATAGCCAGTTGATTTTGTGTTAGGCGATCCTTGCGGGACAGTAATGAAGACAATCTTATAGCATTAAAATGAGATAAAGACCACTGCGGTAAGTACTTGTTTTTTTAGATTTTCGTACATAGGACAAATGAACATAAAATGGTATTCACCTTCGACAACAATGTCCCAGAATGGGCATAACCTTAGGGATTTCTCAACAGATGAAAATCTCCCTGTGTTAATTTCTAGATCATTCAGGCTAAATTTAAAACGAATAATGATTTTACGAAAGTTTCTGTACCGTAAGTTTGATAATTAAAATTCTGGTTCAAGCAATGACTTGAACTGAGGATAAGTATCACATCTTTGAATTTAAATATCTGAATGCCATTTCTCATGAAATATATCAATGGCACGCATGCGAAAGTGGTTAAAAAAGCATTTTACGAATACTGGAAGCCCATGTGTTCTTTCCAAGACAAGCATGTTGTAGGCTTTCTCAGGTAAACTGTGTTCAGGCATTATTGCTGTTTTACACCAATACTTTAAGCAACGAGTGTAAGATAGAATGTACAATGGGAATCTCCCGCATTCTCCATAGACCATATTACTTGTTGTTGACATACCAATATTCAAACACCTTTTACAAGCGCAAGCGGGGAGATGGACCTTTTCATTTGCATAGAACTCTGTACCACTCCATATCTCATATCGTAAAATACGTTTTCGGTGAAATAACTCCAAGCTTGAAGATAACAGAGTGGACTTGTAACAGAGCTTTCTTTGCTCTGTTAGTGAGATTAATTACAGACACAAGCAGATTCAGTGTATGGGTAAACAATATGCCAAGTCATTTGTATTCATTTACAACATTAATACATTAACCTTAAAAAACAACAACATTTCTCTCTTGCAGCCACTCGACCACCTCTACAAAATATAACAATATTTGTTTTATCAAGACCTATACCTTTTGACAGAGCCTCCACGGATTCAGATCTTACCGACCTACATGCTACATTCAACTTTGGTTAATCGTGTTTTGTTTCACCATGTTTAGTCTGTTTCTTCATACTGGACGCCGAGTCAAGAACATACTGTACCAAATATGTCATCCCCTCCTCTACATTAGCTTCAATTTATCTATCAAAGAATTTTAATGAATATGCATGGACCCTCTCAGTGTGGTTAACTTTCCTTCGTTTCGTTCCATGAATATGTACTGTTCATAGAGACATAATTCTCATGGTCTAAACTATGTATGGCACGATTGCTAGAAAGAAACCTGCAGGATAACTCAAGGGGGAAATATCCTGTATCTGATCGATCACCAACAGTTAACATATCTACATACTAGAAAAAAAAATCAACAAATGCAATAAAAAATCAACAACACAAGAACCAGTTTCTCCTAGAAACGTAAACTCGCCTGCTCTATCACCGTAAATTTTCTCATTTCGTATAAACATACGAAGAACAAAGTATAGATTCAACAAAAGGCGTCCGAATTTATTGATACACGCTGTTCAACAGGGGCATTGTCTACATCAGTGTATAAATCATCATGTCCCATTGGGGCGGTCGGGTAGCCTAGTGGTTAAAGCGTTCGCTCGCCACGCCGAAGACCCGGGTTCGATTCCCGACATGGGTACAATGTGTGAAGCCCATTTCAGGTGTCCCCCGCCGTGATATTGCTGGAATATTGCTAAAAGCGGCGTAAAACCATACCCACTCACTCACTCACTTATGTCCAATTGATTGTTGTGTTAATTGATGTTGTCCAGATCAGTAGTCAGCAGTGACAAGTCTATGTCTAGCCATGTTTATGACTGCCGTGTCCTACAGGTACCCGGTAGGATGAGATGCTTAAGATGACTGAGGCCCAACCTTCTCGCGCCTGAGATAGCAGCTTAGGTTGCATAATCCCCAGAGAGCTGCAAATGAAAATCGAGTGGACATTGATCCTTTGACCGGGGTAATAATGTCAGCGTTTTGAGCATGGATCGACGGTATGGAGGCTAGCGCAATATTTGTACACGCATTATTATTATCAGCATCAGCATCCTTGCTCAGCAAAACTGATAAAAAGACACAGGAATGTATGAGTATATATGAGAGATAGAGCTGTTGTGATGCTCCAAGACTTCAATGTATTATCAGAAGGAAATATAAATTGACGTCTAATGTCTAATCATGTTTATATGTCTCACGGTTATATCATACTTGCTCACAAACAAAGTCGACAAAATGAAACGGAAAGACTATGCTACAGTGATAGCGCCAATGTTTCCCGGGCAAGTGTGGTTTTGAAAAACAGTAAACTCTCCTAGTGTGCCCTCCTATCAAAATACTAAACAGCGCCTATACGTTCCTGAGGATGGGTCTAGTGTCAGAGTCAAGACGGATCCGCGAGTGGGAAGTGAACGCATGGAGGCTTGAAGCTATTTGAAAGCATCAGCTGAACTAAAAAGTCTAAACTCTCAGAGCCATTATGCAATTTGATTTTGCCTTTGGCCACATCATATTACAAATCACTGCTAAATACGCGAAGTATGTGTTTTGTTTGCTTGTTTGAAGCCACACTAAGTTATATTCCAGCTGTATGACAACTGATTGTAAATAACCAATGTGGACCAGATAATCCAGTGATAGATAATGTACGCAACGAGCCACTCCGTCGTGGTACAATGTGTGTGTCTGTTCCCTGTTTTATGCCGCATTTGGCAATATTCCAGCTGTGTTGTTGTTGTTGCATTAGGTGTTTAAGAGGTCGCCTTCTGCCTAAGCAATTTCGGCTGACCTGTCCCTCTTTGGGACTCCTGTGTGTGAGAAGGGTTCACATATCTATTGTGAGTTCGGTGTTCACATAATTTCTGTTTTTGCATTGATATGATTTCTATTTTCTTATATTGATGTGATTTCATTTTTATCCTTGGCTGCTCTGTTTATATACGTTCGAGCAGCTGTCCATCTCTCAGAAATAGAGTTAGTTTGGCCTTCGCTATTGCATCTCTTGGCTTTAGGAGATCTATGACAGATAGCGGATCTAACTGCAATTCTTGTTTTAACCTAGCCCGGGCTGGGGCATGTCTAAAGGGAGAGGGGGCAGCTTCTAATCCGGAATCCAAAGGGGGGTTGTACTAACACAAGGGCCGTGTGTGTGTGTGTGTGTGTGTGTGTGTGTGTGTGTGTGTGTGTGTGTGTGTGTGTGTGTGTTGTGTGTGTGTGTGTGTGTGTGTGTGTGTGTGTGTGTGTGTGTGTGTGTGTGTGTGTGTGTGTGTGTGTGTGTGTGTGTGTGTGTGTGTGTGTGTGTGTGTGTGTGCCTGTACTTACACAAGGCGATGTTTAAACTAACACAAGGGGTTGCCTGTACTAACACAAGGGCCGTGTGTGTGTGTGTGTGTGTGTGTGTGTGTGTGTGTGTGTGTGTGTGTGTGTGTGTGTGTGTGTGTGTGTGTGTGTGTGCCTGTACTTACACAAGGCGATGTTTAAACTAACACAAGGGGATGCCTTTACTAAAACAAATAGATGCCTGTATTAACACAAGGAGGTACATGTACCTGTACTAACACAAGGAGATGCCTGTACTAACACACGGGGATGCCTGTACTAACATAAGGATATTCCTATACTTACACAAGGAGATGCCTGTACTAACACAATGAGATGCCTGTACTAACATAAGGAGATTCCTATACTTACACAAGGAGATTCTTTTACTAACATAAGGAGATTCCTATACTAACATAAGGTGATGCCTGTACTTACATAGGGCGATGCCTGCACTGATACATAAGGATATCCATGTACTAACACAAGGATATTCCTGTACTAACACAAGGATATGCCTGTACTAACACAAGGAGATGCTTGTACTAACACAAGGAGATTCCTATACTTACGTAAGGAGATGCCTGTAGTAACACAAGGGGATGCCTGAACTAACACAAGGAGATGCATGTACTAACACAAGGTGATGCTTCTACTAACTCAAGGAGATGCTTGTACGAACATAAGGAGATTCCTGTAAAACACAAGAATATTCATGTACTGACATAAGGAGTTTCCTTTACCAACAGAAGGAGATTCCTATACTTACATCAGGAGATTCCTTTAATAACATAAGGAGATTCCTGTACTCACACAAGGAAATGCTTGTACTAACACAAGGAGATGTCTCTATCAACACCAGAAGATTCCTATACTTAAACAAGGAGATTCCTTTATTAACTCAAGGGGATGCTTATACTAACACAAGGGGATGCCTGTACTAACACAAGGGGATGCCTGTACTAAAACAAGGAGATGCCTGTACTAACACAAGGAGGTACCTGTACTAACACAAGGAGATGCCTGTTCTAACACAAGGGGATGCCTGTACTCACATAAGGATATTCCTATACTTACACAAGGAGATGCCTGTACTAACACAAGGAGAAGCCTGTACTAACATAAGGGGATGCCTGTATTCACATAAGGAGATGCCTATACTTACACAAGGAGATGCCTGTACTAACACAAGGAGATGCCTGTACTAACACAAGGAGATTCCTATACTAACATAAGGAGATGTCTTTTCTAACACACGGAGATTCCTTTACTAACACAAAGGGATGCATGTACTAACATAAGGAGATTCCTACACTTTCACTAGGAGATGATACTGACATAAGGAGATGCCTAAATATATAAACACAAGGAGAGGCCTGTACTCACAAAAGGAGATTCCTATCCTAACACAAGGAGATTACTATACTTACACAAGGAGATTCCTACATGTATACTAACACAAGGAGATACCTATCTTGGCATAAGGAGATGCCTATACTAACATAAGGATATTCCTATACTAACACAAGGAGATTCCTTTACTAACATAAGAAGATTCCTATAGTGACACAAGGAGATTCCTATACTAACACAAGGAGATGCCTAAACTAACACAAGGAGATGCCTGTACTAACACAAGGAGACTCTTATACTAACACAAGGAAATGTCTATACTGACAGAAGGAGATGCCTATACAAACATAAGGAGATTCTATACTAACAGAAGGAAATTCTTTTACTAACATAAGGAGATTCCTATACTGACACAAGGAGATTCCTATACTAACATAAGGATATTCCTATACTAACCTAAGGAGATTCCTATACTGACACAAGGAGATTCCTATACTAACACAAGGAGATGCCTATACTTACAGAGGAGATGCCTGTACTAACTCAAGGAGATCCCTATACTAACACAAGGAGATGCCTATACTAACACAAGGAGATGCCTGTAGTAACACAAGGAGATTCCTTTACTAACTACAAGGAAATGCCTATACTGACATAAGGAGATTCCTATACTAACACAAGGAGATTCTTTTACTAACATAAGGAGATTCCTATACTAACACAAGGAGATTCTTTTACTAACATAAGGAGATTCCTATACTAACACAAGGAGATTCCTATACTAACACAAGGCGTTTCCTATACTAACATAAGGAGATTCCTATACTAACATAAAGAGATTCCTATACTAACATATGGAGATTCCTGTACTAACACAAGGAGGTTCCTATACTTACACAAGGAGATTCCTATACTAGGATAAGGAGATCCCTGTACTAACATAAGCAGATTCTTATACTAACATAAGCAGATTCCTATACTTACATAAGGAGATTCCTATACTAACATCAGGAGATTCGTATACTAACATAATGACATTCCTATACTTACATAATGGGAAGCCTGTACCAACGCATGGATATTCCTATACTAACATAAGGAGATTCCTTTAGTAACACACGGAGGTTCATTTACTAACACAAGGAGAGTCCTTTCCTAACACAAGGGGATGCATGTACTAACATAAGGAGATTCCTACACTTACACTAGGAGATGATACTGACGTAAGGAGATGCCCATTTTTTACTAACACAAGGAGATGCCTGTACTAACATTAGGAGATTCCTATACTAACACAAGGAGATTTCTATACTAACATAAGGAGATTCCTATACTAACACAAGGAGATGTCTATATTAACACAAAGAGATGCCTGTACTAACACAAGGATATTCCTATACTAACACAAGAAGATGCTTATACTAACACAAGGAGATTCCTTTACTAACATAAGGAGATTCCGATACTGACACAAGGAGATTCCTATACTAACATAAGGAGATTCCTATACTAACATAAAGAGATTCCTATACTAACACAAGGAGATTCCTATACTAACATAAGGAGATTCCTGTACTTACAGAAGAAGATGATATTGACATAAGGAGATGCCTCTAATAACACAAGGAGATTCCTATACTAACACAAGGAGATTCCAATACTAACATAAGGAGATTCCTATACTGACACAAGGAGAATCCTATACTGACACAAGGAGATTCCTGTACTTACATAAGGATATTCCTATACTATAACAAGGAGATTCCTATACTAACACAATGAGATGCCTATACTGACATAAGGAGATGCCTATGCTAACATACGGAGATTCCTACACTAACAATAAGGAGATTCCTGTACTTACACAAGGAGATGATACTGACATAAGGAGATGCCTCTACTAACACAAGGTGATTCCTATACTAACACCTGCATCACTTCGGGCTTTCCTCCCACATTAAGCTGACACGCCGTGATATAACTGGAATACTGTTAAAAGCGGCGTTAAACCCAACTCACTCACTCACTATACTAACACAAGGAGATGCCTATACTTACATAAGTTGATTCCTATACTTACACAAGGAGAATCCTATACTGACACAAGGAGATTCCTGTACTTACATAAGGATATTCCTATACTATAACTAGGAGATTCCTATACTAACACAATGAGATGCCTATACTGACATAAGGAGATGCCTATGCTAACATAAGGAGATTCCTATACTAACATAAGGAGATTCCTGTAGTAACAATAAGGAGATTCCTGTACTTACACAAGGAGATGATACTGACATAAGGAGATGCCTCTACTAACACAAGGAGATTCCTATACTGACACAAGGAGATGCCTATACTAACACCTGCATCACTTCGGGCTTTCCTCCCACATTAAGCTGACACGCCGTGATATAACTGGAATACTGTTAAAAGCGGCGTTGAACCGAAACTCACTCACTCACTATACTAACACAAGGAGATGCCTACACTTACATAAGTTGATTCCTATACTTACACAAGGAGATGATACTGACATAAGGAGATGGCTATATATACTAACACAAGGAGATGCCTATACTAACACAAGGGAGGGGCTGGGGGAGGGGGGGGGGGGGCGGGGGGGGCTGGGTGTGTGTTTGTGTGTTTGTGTGTTTATACTAACAGAAAGAAATGTCAAGCTTTCATAACCCCATTGCGATTCCGAGTTACAATTGGTCCCCACGAGACGGGTCGCTGAAATGACAGTATATGCTTCTTTGTACACTCAAGAAAATGGAGTCTTTTATATCGCTTTAACTCAATACAAAAGAGCAAAATCAAACCTGTGTATCGAATATCTGAACAGAAGGTCAACCATTCCAGTTTTGTTTAAATTTATACATATTTCCATTGTTCCCCAGGTGTGGCATGTCATTAACGCAGTTTGTCATTTCATACACGCTGGAATATTACACCTGGCTACGTAAAACTCTTAAGTTTGTGAAGCAATTACTCCTTGAAGATAGAATATCACCCTTTCTAAGAACAGCAAGGTTTTATTGGTTGATAAAGTACAGCGTAATAGCATGGACAGTGGCCAAAGGTATTTAAATATCGCAAACAGACAAGAACAACTTGACACATGTGACACTTCTCAATGGAGACCTTCTGTGGTCGAAGGGAGGTAACTCTATTGGTATACGGCGAACGAAGACGTGGAGTAGCTGTTGGTTAAAACGTTCGCTAGTCACACTGAAGAACCGGTTTCCATTACCCGCATAGACCCCATCTAAAATGCCCGCTCATGCAACGTCAAACAGAACGGTATTTCCCCGGTGTTCCCCCCGAACTACTACTACTACTACTACTACTAGTACTACGACAACTACTACTACTACGACAACTGTTGCTGTTGCTACTACTACATCTACTGCTACTACTGCTGCTACTGCTACTACTACAAATACTTCTACTACTACTACTACTACTACTACTACTACAACTACTACAACTATGACAACTGTTGCTTTTGCTACTACTACATCTACTACTACTACTACTACTAATACTACTACTACTACTTCTACTACTACTACTACTACTACTACTCCTACTACTACTACTACTACAACTACAATTTGACTACCACAGTATTCACGGCTATCCTGTGTGTGCTTGTTGTCCCATGTCTCAACCTATTCTTTGTGCACTTTCATCTTTTGGTTTAAGGTGACATGTGATATGTACATAGAATCTCTTTATAAGTGACATGACTTCAAATGTTATTATCAGACGACTTGAATTCTTTTGTTAGGGTTTCGCTATAATTATCAGAGGACATTTTGCTGAACCCGATTCGAAGACAGCGTTAAGAGCTGCGTATGCTGCAGCGGCCGGCGATGCCACACGTTAACAGTCCCGTGGAACCGCACGTTACCAGTCCCGTGGTACACACACGTACGTCTCAAACACCACTTGATTGCAACAGTTTATACTGGGCGTTTATAAACAAAATGTCTGCATTCGGAACAAAATTAAGACGTCTCCCATCAAGGTTGTCTTGTTTGGCAGATGTTCCCAAAATCTCAACTTCCCCACCCTCACCCTCGACCTTCTACACCTCCATCGCCTCCTCCTCCTCCTACTACTACAACTACTACTACTACAAAATAATAATTTGCACACACATAAAATATTATGTACATGAAAACTGAAGATGTTATTTCTTCAATAAGCTAACCTTCGCCCGGCTCTGCTCAAGTCCCATGTGTTGAATCAGAGTGTCGTTGTCGATGTAGTTGCGGACGCCATTGACACAGTATCTGCCATGCCAGAGTCGTCCATGTAACTTCTGTCTTGAACAAACATGTTCTCTGAGACGTTGTGTATTTCCACCATTGCCAGTGTGTCTTCGACACCTGCTGTTGGTCCTTGGTCGTGATATTTATGTGTTGTGTCTGGTTCTTGTGCTGGTATATTGACGCAGAACACGTCTTTCTGTTTCTCTTCGATATCCAACTCCTGCAACGTTAAGAAAAATGATTTACCAACTGGTTTAAATACACACTATCCTTTGAAATGAAAGCTGAACAAATTTAGAGAATTGTCAAAAATATCTGTGAGTACCATATACTCTGATGTGCTTAGAAATGGTCCCAAGCAACCTATGCTAGTACGAGGCAACAAATTGTGTGCCCCTGTTACATGGTTCATTGCGTGGCATCGTACCCGACGGCAAGGGACGTTGTTCAAAGTAACTGGATTTTCTGGTCAATTACTTAAAAGACGCCGTCATTATGATGGACTATTTGCTGAGTGTGATGAAAGACAACAAACAACCAAGGATATGCCAAAATAACTCGATCTAATGTACTCCTTACCTGATCAACCAAAGTCTCATGTCAGATTTCCTAAGACTTTGGGATCCAAGGGTCACGATTACTCCTAGTAAATCAAATCAAATTATTCAGTTTGGCGGGAGAGATATATTGCTTACTTTATTCGATTGTTGCATATATCTACTAACTAGTAGGTATATGAAGTATATACAGAGCCTCTCTTCCTAATTTTGGACCATGCTTTAAACAAGCGTTTGTCATCACTTTACCCGTACTCGTGGGTCTTATCAAAAAAGCCTCAGATCTGCAACACCTAAGGCTTTCCCCACACATGAATCTGACACGTCGTGATAAAAGTGACATAATTGTTGAAAGCGGCGTTACACTCAGGTCACTCACTCACGCATGCATATACCAGTGATATCCTTGAGCTAAAGGTATTGGGGTCAGATGTGAACGAAAGTGTTCCGTTATAGTAACTGTTTTCAGATTTGCTCAACCACATTGCTACATAGAGATAATTTTTAAACAAGCCACACATGACACTTTTGCCCTCTTTTAACTCTAACAAGGATCTGAACTAACACAGACAGTGTCGGCATACAATTGTGAAAATACATTGTGATCGCTGTATGAAGATGATATTCAATCACACTTATTTAGACTTACTTTATCGGCGTCAAGTAGGGGCATCTGTGGTTCATTCATTTGCCTCGACTTTGAAGGATTATAGACCAAGAGGACGAGTAAAGCCAGCACCACCAAGAACAAAGGAGGTATCACTTTGATGGCACAGTGGTCGATTACGAGATTGTAGCACACTTGATTGACGAACATTGCACTTCCAGGTGGGCATTCTGTGACACAGCTGCCATTGTAGATAAATACATTCTCATTTGCAATGCAGAAAAGTTCAAGTATACACACAGAGCCATTCAAAACTGTGTTTCTTGGGCACACGGAATGGCATGTGCCTGCGAATAAAAGCTTGTACATGTATGGTGCATCATCAGGACAGACTGACAGGCATACTCCCTTGTACACAACGCCGGCCGAACACAAGAGTTCGTTGACACATTCAGACCCTTTTCTGATCAAATCTGTTGGGCATTTAGAGAGGCACTGGCGATTATGTTTATATGGAGCATTCTGAGGGCATGATGGTAAGCATGAACCATTATAGGTGACACCGCCATTACAATTTATTACACAGTCAAATTCCTTTCTTAACATTCCCGGTGGACAAGAGGAGAAACATTTCCTATCGTGTTTATATGGGAAATGATGAGGACATGATGGTAAGCAGGAACCATTGTAGATGACACCGCCATTACAATTTATTACACAGTCAAATTCCTTTCTTAACATTCCCGGTGGACAAGAGGAGAAGCATTTCCCATCGTGTTTATATGGGACATGATGAGGACATGATGGTAAGCACGAACCATTGTAGGTGACTGCATCCGTTTCCGAAGAACAGCTGAGTTGGGTCAAACATCGTTTTGTTGGGAACAGTGTACTGTTTGCTGGACATGTAGACATACAGGTGTTGTCCAGTGTATATGGAGCCGTTGGTGGACAAGCATTAAGGCACTTTGATCCGTGTTCAAAGAATCCTTGATTATTGCATATCATGGGACTAATGCATCGCTTATTAGGCAAACTTAAAGTTCCATTGGGACACATTTGGTAGCAGTAGCTTGAATTGATATATGGACTTTCTCTTGGACAGGATGTTACACATGTATTATTGTGAATGTGTTCCTTCAGATCGATACAGTTTACTTCTGTTATACACCGTACCTGTCCTGGTGCACTTATGACATAGCCATTTGGACATGTATCGTAACAAACACCATTTGATACAAATGGTGCGGTCTGAGGACACTCTGGAACACATGTCCAATTGGAAATATACCTCCCACTGTTTACACAGTGACGGGAATCAATACATCGCAAGTCACTGACAACTGTTCCCCGTGGACATGTATTGCCACATGTTCCTTGGTGGTTAAAGCGCGCTTCTAATGGACATGTATCAACACACGTTCCATTATACACTACTCTATAAAGAGAGAAACTATCAACACAATGGTGTTCACTAATACATGTATTGCTATATAAAACTGTGTGTTGATGACAGTTGGAAAGGCATATGTTGTCAACCTCAAGAGGTAAATCATCCGGGCACGTAGCAATACACAAGTTTCCTGACATAACCATTTTCCTCTGTGCACACTCACCAATCGGAATGCATTGATTTCCAAGAGCAACTTTTCCTATGGGGCATTCTCTATAGCATGTGCCCTGGTTGTTGTATGGATGGTCATGAGGACAACCTGAGACACATGTGTTGTTGAAAACAATTCCTTTCACAGTGCACTCTTCAACAGATAGACAGAGGGTTCCATTGGCTGTCACAGGTATCCTAGGGGGACATTCAGGACGACAGGTACCATTCGCAATAAACTTGGATTCTGGAGGGCACTGATCAACGCATGCAGTGCCATTAACGAACCCATTCTTCTTACAATCTGCTTGAAACAGGCATTCTGATCCATTAACAACTGTATCATTTGGGCAAGTTCTGTAACAAGTTCCATATTTCCTGAACAGCATGGAAGAAGGGCATGTTGCTTGACATGTTCCGTTGAAGAGTACCTGGTTGTTTTGGGACATACAGTATGTTCCGTTTAAACATTCCGTTCCGTTTAAGACTGTATGTCGTGGACAATGGTTATAACAGAAACTGTTGGCTTGCAGAAGGTATGTTCCAAGGGGACAGGTACGCATACACGTTCTACCAAAAATAACAAAATTTCTACTCCTACAGTTGTCAACACTGATGCAGTTCCAACTTTGGTATCCAAACATCACGGTGCCAGTAAGGCATGTATTTACATTCACAATGAGTACTATCAGAATAGTACATGGCAAAACCACCTCCATATCTTCTAATTCTATAGCAGCCTTATTCAGAATGGCTGAGAGTGGCGGAACATAACTTCCATTCTCTGAAAAGAAAAGATATTATTGTTTGTGGCATAGAGTCAGCAGTCATCAATATGGCGATTGTGTAGTATACAAGGCACATGGTATAACACAACATTCTTTACAGTGTTACTTTACATAGAATGTTGAAAGTTTTCCTGTTTATAATAGTTCTCAGCTCACCGGGTAACTTAAAAGTGACATTACATTTATTTCGTCCTTGACCTTACTACCGGATGTTTTGACAATGCTGTTTGTGCCATTGGCAACATTCGCTACTCAACCACATAATCCAGGTATGTCAAATATACTGATCGTTGTCTAGTTAAAATCCTATTATAAACATATATTATTAAATATATATATATATATATATATATATATATATATATATATATATATATATATATATGTGATATATGGAATCACGATACTTAAACTAAGTAGACAAGTTGGGTTGTTATAATAACGTGTGTTACAATTGTGTGTCTATTTCGGTAAATTACCCTGCTAGAACTCATCTATCACCTTTTAGCCTGGTATATTTGTATTGTAAGTACAACTGATAACAAACACACTTTATGTATTATATTTAAAATGAAAAATATGAAAACATCTTACCGGTTAGTTAAAACGAACGACGAAAATACTCAATACACAACCATAACATTTGTGTACCTGGTTGCTATGAAGTGACATAACAACCACAGGTATTCCCGCTCGAGTAACGCTGAAAGGCTATCGATAGCAAACACGCGAAGCAGACGTGAGTTTGTGAATAGCCAGTGAGCCATGGGGAACAAAACGGCTTTGTCTATTTACTGAATGAAGTTTGTCAGTGTCGTGAATAACTCGACTCACGGTAGTGAGATAGACTGTAAGGTATATTTACAATCGACACAAGGGCAATGAATTGTTTTGGTGGTCCATGGACAAACAACATGCAGGACTCCCAGTTAATGTTCAGATAGTGCTTGTATCCGTTTTCATATATGAACACGTTTAAGATTTTCAGGTATGGAGAATAAGCCAACAGGTGAGGAGGACTTTGAAATCTTACAAGAACGTATTTTGGCAGAGAGGGCAGCAAGGAGAAAAGAAGACTTAGAGAGGAACACCCTTCATTTTGACATACCTCCACTTCCTGAGGACAAAGACTACCATTTATTTATATCCTATTGTACTGATCAGCCAGATGAAGTGGAGTGGGTTGAGCAACTGGTCACTGCAATGGAAAAGCATTGTGGGCTGACATGCTGTTGGCCAAAACGAGATTTCATTCCTGGTCATGCGATTGGAGCTGAAATACAAAGAGGAATTTTGCAGTCCCTGAAGGTCGTGTTCATTCTCTCTCCTGCCGCCATCGAGAGTCAGTGGTGCGAATATGAACGCAACTTTGCTTTTGGAGTTTCAGTTGAAAACAAAGAAAACCAGATAATTCCAGTCATGTTGAGTGAATGTGATGTTCCAGGAATTCTAAAGACGCTGAATTACATTGATGTTCCTGCCGGTGAAGACTTTGTCTTCAGAATCCGACGCTGTTTTGATGAAGATACTCGTATGTACACGCCTTTACTTTTGAAACACGCTTCATGCTATGTATTATTATAATGCCTTTTGCCCGAAGGAGTGATACACTATATGTGTGTTGTTTTAATCAAGTCATAGTTCAGGGAAAGTACTGAAAAGGATATGGATCAATCACGTAATTTCAGATACTTGTATGCTCCCGAAGAATTATGTTTTACATTGCATGAATGGCCCCGTGCTGACTCCGGGTAAGGATAGGTCCCGGCAACCTACTCTGTGGTCGTATGGTCAGGCTCGGATGGTCAGGCTCGTGTGGTCAGGCTCGAAATGTCAGGCTCGTGTGGTCAGGCTCGTGTACTCGGATGGTCAGGCTCGGGTGGTCAGGCTCGGGTGCTCAGGCTCGGATGGTCAGGCTCGTGTGGTCAGGCTCGTGTGGTCAGGTTCGGATGGTCAGGTTCGGATGGTCAGGCTCGTGTGGTCAGGCTCGGATGGTCAGGTCGGATGGTCAGGCTCGGGTGGTCAGGTCGGATGGTCAGGCACGTGTGGTCAGGCTCGGGTGGTCAGGCTCGGTGACTTCGTTGATTGCCCCTCATCGTACTCCCATGGCGTGCATCGTTGCTCACAATATCGATGTTTGGAATGTCTGTCCCAGATTCGAATATTTACAGATCGCCGTCACATAGCTGGAATATCGCTGACTGCGGCGTTGAACAACAAACAAACATACAAGCAAAGCATAATGGTATAGCACTGGTAATAATGGCACATCTATATGAACAATTGTTGAAAAATCGTGAAATCATTATCACCAGTGCTTTATCAATATTGCAGTTTGCTTAAAACCTGTATGCTCCACATATAAGGAATAGTGTGAGAAAGTCATTATTAGCAATTATGATGCTTCATGCATGTGACACGAAATCTACCTGAATTGAACCTTCATTCCAATTTTCGTTTCTTCGGCTCAGTTATCAGCTAACAGTAGAATGCCTTGTCTATATAAGGTCATAACTCTCTTAAGAGAGTTGGATTCAATGTTCAATGGAATAAACAATCCATTCTTGTTGTGATATCATCCATTCTTAACTACTTCAGGGTAGAATAGTTGAAATAGTCTACTTTCATTTTAACCTTGCTCTCACTATTTCAGGCGTAATGAAGTATCTAGTTCCTGAAATCGAAGCTAAAGGGAACAGAACAGGTACTGTATTCACAAATACTTCGGTAGACCCCAAATGGTATTTCATGTAATCGATCAAGAAATCCTTACTCGTGATATAAGGACATGTACATGTATGTGAATAAGGGTGAACTGTATATGAAATAGATATGATATATGCAAGCACCAAATCATTTACATAGTTGACATGTATGTGAATAAGGGTGAACTGTATATGAAATATATATGATATATGCAAGCACCAAATCATTTACATAGTTGACATGTATGTGAATAAGGGTGAACTGTATATGAAATATATATGATAAATGCAAGCACCAAATCATTTACATAGTTGACATGTATGTGAATAAGGATGAACTGTATATGAAATATATATGATATATGCAAGCACCAAATCATTTACATAGTTGACATGTATGTGAATAAGGGTGAACTGTATATGAATTGTGGCAAAATTTCAACTATGTAAATGATGTGGTGCTTGCATCGAACAGGTTTCCGGACACGACAATGCTCCAATCACCACGAGTCTGCTCTGTGTTATTGTAACAGTGTTCTCCCGATCGTAGGAGTTACAAAAGGTCTACATACAAGTATATAGCAAACACACAATCTGTTAATCTGTTAACCTCAGTTTGGTGAAACCCACGAGTACCAGCTACGTGCAAAAGATCAAGACACAATTAGGCACCACACATGTGCTCGTGGGCATCACCAAAGTGGTAAACGTCAAAGATCTGATTTCCTCGCACGTCAAGCAGATACGCCATGATATAACTCAAATACAGTTCAAATTGGCGTTTAACCTAACCCACTCACTACAGATGGAGATTAAATGTCATGAACGTCACTACCTACCATAAGATGGTCAAAGCACCTATTTTCCGTATGACATATGTGTGCCCACGTTTATTGCGAGGGGACATACATACTGGCAAGAAACAATGAATATAAACAACTCCGCTAGACACGTGTCCCGAATCACATTTATTATCTTTTGAAGGACCGTTGAACGGACTGATTGTCAGAATCAGTGGTGAAAAAAATATGAAGTCTGTATGCAGAGGGCCTGCGTGGTCATTTAGAGACCTTGACCGACATCAAAGGTTGAAGCTTCGCCAACTTGGGAGCAAGGTGATTATTAAATGAAATATTCAACATATTAACAGTCGCCCATATTTACTTTTTCACCAACTCGACTGTCACACGACAAGCACCAGTGGAAGTAGAAATGACAAACTCTCAAAATAAAGTTTTAAAAATTAGTTTCACTAACTTGTAATTACCTAACCGTATTACTACTCTTACTAATATAAATGCCATACTCAACTAATACTACTATTTCTACTACACTTCTAATACTTGTCGTAAGAGGCGACTAACGTGACCGGGTGGGCAACCTCGCTGACTTTGTTAATGCATGTCATTGTATCCCAATTGCGTGGATCGATGTGCATGATGTCAATCACTGGACTGTCTGGTCCAGACTCGATTATTTACAGTCCGCCGTCATATAACTGAAATATTGCAGTGTGCGGCGTTAAACAACAAATAAACAAAACTAAGACCAAACACTAATACCATACACTACACTTCACACTAACCTATACACTAATACTACAGCTAATACGTCTACGATCTGCATCACTGTTGACTTTCAGACATTGATCTGAAACATTGTGGTGTAACTGGAATACTTTCAAACAAACGTGAAACCAAAGTCTAATACTTACAATACACTAACGTTGTTGATAGATCCCTTTCATTTCAGTTTGCGGAAAGAGCATATTATGAAGCGAAGAATGTCATCAACAAATCAGCGAGTATGAAGTACTTCTCACTCAGAAGTCGGTCCCATTTTTGGAGTCTGTGCGGCATTGGTTTAGTGCTGTGGTTTTTATTCATAACATTCATTGTCGCAATAGTTCACACGGAAGTGACTCCTTTATTTGATGCCACGTTCATGTGGTTTGGGCTTGTACCAGGACTGACGATAACACACATGATAAGCTGGGTCGTTCTGTACCGCTGGGTGAGTACATTATCAATAAACAGCAAATTGATAATTAAATTAAAACGACAATTAATTTGCAATGTGCCTTTGATTTGAACTGTGGGTTTATGCAGTGACTTTGACATTTGGCGACTAGAACTTGATCAGTGTTTATATGCGAGTGAGTGAGTGAGTATGGTTTTACGCCGCTTTTAGCAATATTCCAGCAATATCACGGCGGGGGACACCAGAAATGGGCTTCACACATTGTACCCATGTCGGGATTCGAACCCGGGTCTTCGGCGTGACGAGCGAACGCTTTAACCACTAGGCTACCCGACCGCCCCCTGTGTTTATATGTGTTTCCTTATCATGTAAATGACCTTTCTGTTGGCCCCTCGATATCATTTCGTCTCACAGAAAGTCACATGAATGACGCTTGTGTTTGTATTAACCAGTTAGTTAGAATAGTTTTCTAACTTAATTAACGTTTACATATCTACAAATTGAACACGATTCCTTGAACGGTATCCGTGCTCGTGGGTTTCACCGAAGTGGTAAACGTCTGAGTCCTGCATCACTTCAGGTTTTCCTCCCACATGAAGCTAACACGCCATTATATAACTGGAAAATACTGTTAAAAGTAGCATTTTAAACACAACTCACTCATTTACTCAATTGAATGGTATAAACGGTATTGTTCAAAATAGTTATTTTCACTGATCGGTGGAAATCTATTGTTTAATATTGTGTTCCGTACTGTGTAAACTAGCTACTGAAGTTACATGCCACCTTCTATGTTATTATTATGGAGTCGCAATCATGTTATGACGGGGATTGCTTATGAAGATGGAAAGGGTTTATCGCTTTCTTGAAAGTGGCCTGCTTATTTCATTTTATAAAGTCATCAAAACATTTCCTGAAATCAAGTCTTTGAAAGGCATTTAAAAGTGATACACAAGGAAGAGAATTTATTGATGTCAACTTCTTGGGACTTATTGCTTTGATCTTTGTCGGTGCTAATTATCTGGCTGGCTTCCATTTGCCTATTGCTTTATCCATTCTTTTTACCTATCAGTGCTAATTACCCCCGGCCTCCCTTTTGCCCAATGTCCATTGCCCATTACGAAGCAGTGATAATTTAAGCCCTGGCTTCCAGTTGTCCATTGCTATTTCCCTTATATTTCCTATCAGTGCTAATTACCCCCGGCCTCCCGTTTGCCCAATGTCTATTCCTCATTACGAAGCAGTCATAATTTAAGCCCTGGCTTCCAGTTGTCGATTGCTAATTCCATTCCACCCCAAGTAACATTGCATGAAAAGTTGCCATATAAATACCTGGGTATTTTTTGTCAAAGTTTCTAAAATTTAACATTACCTTGTCCGGAAAATTGAAATTTGATGATAAAAAACCCAAAAGCAGATGACAATAAAACCGATCCCCCAAACGCATCACGCCAACGGCCATGGTAACCCGAGGCACGTGTGAGTTCCGTGCAAATTGAAATGCACATGCGTTCTTGGCCTATATAAATCCACCGAGATGGGATAACATTAATTCCTTATTGAATTGCTACCACATGCCAAGATTGACAAGAAATCAGCGACACCAAGCCCTTGGACGATTGCAAGCTGGACAAAGCGCCCGGCAAGTAGCCACGTAAGGACTATATACAGGCTCCGGCATGGGTACCAGACCAATCTTAGGAGAAATGCCACTAAGTCTACGCAGGGAACAGCTAAGCTTAAATTTCTGGGCCGCGTCCCAATCAAACCCTCTCATCCAAAACTTAATAAACCAAAACATCAGCCCCAAAAACCAAGCTCTAGCTCGTAAACACCCCTTACTTACCCCAATATCCCAAAGAATAACAAACTACCTAAATGAACACCAAATTAAAAATCTTAAACAAAACTGCAAACAATCAAATATCTTCACCCCTAAACTTAAAATACCCAAAATAGACACAACACTAGCTAGCCAAATAAATAAACAAACCGACCCAAACATAGCTAAAACTACCACACTAGCATACATACACGAAAATTGGCCAAATTGGTGTCACATTTACACGGACGGATCCTCAGATCCGACCTCCAAACACACAGGTTTCGGAGTCCATACCACACAACCAACTAAAACCACACAATCCTTCCGACTCCCAAACAACCAATCAATATTCACGGCAGAACTAATGGGCATGGCCTCAGCCCTCCATAATCAAGAATCCAAAAACCACAAAAAAATCCTAATACTTACCGACTCCCTAAGTGGACTGCAAGCCCTCCAAAACAAAAATACCAAAAACCGACCTAAATTAATAAATCAAATACTTAAAAGCTCCAACGACCTAACTAAGGCAGGCAAACAAATAACCTTCTTGTGGATACCCGCCCACGTAGGAATATACGGTAATGAAAACGCCGATAAAGCAGCTAAACTATCCCTCAAAATCCCAGAAATAAGCTTAAACTTACCCATCTCAAAATCAGAAATTAAAAGTGTAAACAAGCAAAAAATCACCAAAAAATGGCATAACCTATATCTAAACTCAAATAGCCAAATCAAAAAAGTGCTCAGCAAACCACTAACCAAACCAAAAATTCTCCATCCATCCAAAAAAATCGACAGAGTAATCACTAAACTCCAAACAGGACACACCAACCTAAATAACCACCTAAAAAAATATAAAAAACACACTACAGGTAACTGCCCACACTGCAAACAACCAGAAACCCCAGAACACGCACTCATCCACTGCACACACTACCTAACACATCGAACCGCATTACAAACCACCCTCAATCTAAACAAGGCTCTAACTCTAGAAGCAATACTAAACCCACAAAATAAACTAGAAAACTTCAAGGCCTTAGGCGTATTCTTAATCAAAACGGAACTAATAAAACGCATCTAAAAACACAATAACTCACCAAATCAAAATCACATAAACAAACAAACATCCACCATACCCAGCTCCCTTAGTTCTCCTCCCCAATCCCATCGGCATCTATTCCAAATCTCAAAATTCCCAAATTCTATATAAGCAACCCCTAAAACCCCCCTCTTGGGTTGCACAGACCACCTTCGCCCCTTTCGGAAACACATTAAATGGCCTGGCCGGGCCCGTGTGCGAAATACGCATCAGTCGGAAAGCGCACGTTAAATCTCCAAAGTAAGTAAGTAAGGTACCAGACCAGAAACACTACAGATGACCGACCACGTAGTGGAAGACCAAGGGTCACCAACCGACGTCAGAATCGTCAGATTGTGCGACAGCATCTTCAAGATCGCTTTGTTACTGCTGCGGAAACTGCTCAACAGACCATGGTGTCACACCAGCGACACACTTGTGCGGACACTGTGCGTCGACGATTGACGAGCAGACACCTCCACTGTCACAGGCCACACCGAGAACCCATTCTGACGCCCCGTCACCGCCAGGACGGTCTTCCGTGGGCAATACAGCACCAGCATTTGCGCCACCAGCAGTGGAGAAGAGTCCTCTTCTCAGACGAGAGCCGTTACTCTATCTCAACAGCAGATGGCAGAGAAAGGGAGAGTCTGGCGACGCCGTTGGGAACGTTATTCGGATGCCTGTGTTGTCCGAGCATCATGGTGTGGGCTGGAATTGGTCTTACACAGAGGGTCGGCCCTGTGGTCTTCCAGAACATTGGTCCAGGGAGAGGCAATGGTGTCACAGCAGCTCGGTACATTGATCAAGTCTTGAGACCACACGTCTCATTTGGTACGTCGTCTCAACCACGAGTTTCAGCATGATAACGCCCGTGCCCACACTGCGAGATCAACAAGAGACCACCTCCAGCAGAATGGTATCAGAACCATGCAGTTGCTTATCCCTATTTAAATCCCATTGAGCACATGTGGAGCGAGATTCAAAGGCGGCTGAATGACGTCCGACCAAGGCCGACGACTGCAGCTGAACTGCGTCAGGCGTTCCTCAGAGTGTGCGCTCAAGTGCCTATGGCCTTCATCAACCGCCTTATCCATTCCATCGTTGCACGGCAGTTATCAATGCACATGTCGGACACAGGAAATACTGACTTGTGATGCCAGTGTCTCAGAGACTGGTGTTGTATTTCACTTTAAGAACATTTGACACTTTAATTTCAACCCTGATGAACAGTTTTGCCAAGTTTCATCTTTGTAATATGTCTCAAAGTATGTTTACAGTGTTTGGACAAATATGGTTTCTCATATATCTATCCATGTTGACGTTTCTTTTGCGGTTCAGTATATTTCCAATCAGTGCTAATTACCCCCGGCCTCCCGTTTTCCCAATGTCCATTGCCAAATACCATTCAGTGATAATTTAAGCCCTGGCTTCCACTTATCCACACTATCAGCGCTAACTACTGTAAAGTGTTGGCTTCCATTGTCTATTGCTTATCACCTATCAGCGCCAATTATCTTTTTTTGCTTCCCTTATTAAGGTTCCACTTTTTGTTATCTTATAACTTTTGTTGTTCTTACATGTTCATATGTATACTGTCTGCCTCTTAGCATTCATTCACCTGATGAAGGAGTAAGCATATACTCCGAAACGTTCTTTTCCTTACAATAAAGAAGTTGACATCCATAAATTCTCTTCCGTATTTCTTGAAATGTTTTATGATCTGCGCATTTGATCTACTATTTAGATGTGATGAAAACCTTTCACACATTTTGGAGTTATTTTCGGGAAACTATGCTCGTGTTGACCATGTGACCATGTTGACCCTATCATTATTGATTTAAGTGACAGTTACACTTCATCAGTTCGTGGGAATTCATAATATAAACAGTTAGAGACTGTAATTTTTCCATACATTTAATCACCAAAGCCTAAAAGTATTATGTTTTGTTACAGAAAGTCAGGAAAGTAGAGAAATGGGTTCGAAGATATAGCCTTGAGCATATTTTGGAAACGAACATCTTTGTGAACTTTCAATTGACCAACTCGCCAAGTGTATCCTTTGCTTTGATTGTTAATTCCAGAAACTTAAAACCGAAAGTTTCACGTCTGTAAAGCGACCTAAGGCCTGCGACAGTCATTATTCTTGTCCATTAACATGGACTGAAAATCGCTTTGTGAAACGGGGTCTGGTTGATTGAACTGAGGTATCAAATATGTATTATGTGTTGCGTGACACACGAGGAAAGGCCATATGATGTGTCTCTAATCTGAGTTTTGAATTTGGGCAGTGAAAAGTGGTTTTGCCAAGATCTGGTTGAAAGATATATTCTAAATCCCTCGTGATATGGCCTGAAAGTTGATTTTGTACATATTCACTTAGTCATATTTCAATACTTGGAAATGGTAAAGAACTACGTTTTCCTGACAACAGCTTCAGATACTAATAATGTACTACAACATCAAGCCTTGTCTGGTGAGTATTTCCACATACCACGATCAAATTAGATGGGATTATCAGGCTCTGTGACCTGGCTTTTTCAGAGACGTTGCTAGGAAATTGATAAGGTCGAGGATTACCTCACAATTTTAGGCATTACTATTGCATATTTTATTTTTGGAGTATTTAGCAAAAATAACAGTTATGATCTATTAGAAAACAAGGAATTCATCATGTGCCTTAATATAACGCCATTAATTGTCAACAGGATTACATCTGTGGTATTGTGTACAGATCACTCGAAGAAGAAACTGACAATCGCGTGGACAAAGAGGTAATATATGGTAACATTGTGTGGGCGTAGTACTCTAAGGGTGCGATCTAAAAGTAATGGTCAAAGTCCAAAGTCCTTACGTAACGCTTTGAAGAACCTGGGTCCCCCCACCAAAGGTGTAAAGCATGTTCTTGATACCACCGCAAAATGCCTTGGATAATGCGAAAAGCGGCCTTAAACCAAACGCACTTATAATATCTTTCAATTGGAATAGTTAATTGATTCTATTCAACTTATTTAAAGAAATCGTGTATTTTACATATTCAAATAATCTGCTTATTGTTTCTTCAGGAAATGGCTCGAATCACCGGAAGGCGCATGATGTTTTCTTTCATTGAAAACAATTTTGACCACATTTATGGATCCAATACTGGGACAACTATTGTAAACAGACACCCTACCTGTTTCAGAAATAGATGCATTTGCGAAACATTGGAAAAGAGTATGTTGCGGAACAGGGAAAAATAAGATTGTGAAATGGATTGTTTTGACTTCTATCTGTGTCATATTGTTTTTTTCTAATTTCTTTACATTGTTCTTTGACATAATTTCAATTCTGTATATACAGAGAGTATTAGCTGAATGTGTTCCTGTATCGTAAATGTTATACATTAGAAAAAAGAAATTATATCATGCGAGCCTTTGGCGATCATAATACCTATTTTGTATTCCATATGTACATGTATTACTGTACGGAAACACATGGGCATGAAGTTTTCTCATATAATGTCCTTCTTGAAATATTGATGTTTTAGATGTGATTTTACTCAATGAAGTAGATTTAGAAACCGCGTATCCAAACAACTTTTGAGTAAACAGTCAAGTATTATATATAGTGCCAAATAACTTGCAGCCGTGTTTCGACTACACATTGGGAAACTTCAATCTAAGCATATTGGGAACGTCAGTCAAAAGTTATTTGAGAAAGAAAGCATCGCATTGATGTATGGAACTTGAAAGTAGTTCCCGCTAGGCGATCTCATTTGCATATTTATCTCATCAGGAGACCAGATTTATCGGAGCGATAACACAAGCCATTGTATGTACAACATGTTATAAGTATGTTTTCTAACTCACTCTTACATTTACAGGATGCCCGATGCAAGTCGGAGTCATTAATCAATTTTCTGAAACACGAGCTCATATCTGCTGCTGACAAACCAGCTGGTGAATCTGGTATTCGAACACATTGTCAGCGTATCAAGTTTGTCCTGGCACAGGGAATTATTGCGTCTTCGACCATTCGACCCAAAAGGGCACACACATTGAGAAAACAAGATAAGTAAAATATTTGCAAGTCTTCTTAAATTCGGGCAAACAGAATACAAGATGTGTTGATGTGTTACTTGATGGTTTATTTGTACAGTTTTAGAACGGATTGTACAATAAAAAAATTTTGTCAAAAAAGGACAAAAAACACATTAAACACAAGCATTGCTTTGCGATCAATTATTATGATTTGCATAATATGTTACCTGTACATGCGTAACATATGTAGATTTATTTGATATAAGAACATCCGCTGATGGAGCTATTATTTGGAATAAATCATGGTCGTGTTGAATTTGTAATACTGTCGATCAACTGTCTCAAGTTTCAAGTGGAGAGGCCCTGTCGGGATTCATGCTATATTTACCGGGAAGGGTTTTATGATATCTAGATTTTCGGTATGCATAATCACAGAGCTTAGCAAATGGTGGTCGCGAGGCGTCATCATCAACATTGGACACTGACGTAAACTTTTCGTCGAGAGATTCAGCTGTACCCAATCCTGAAAATGCATCACTGTTATTGGTTGTTATCAGTGACCAAATGTGGTACAAAGGTACTGATTAGACACTTTAGTAACGAGACTTATTATTTTCCAATATATAGAACTGTTTTCGTTTAAGCCGTTGACAGGCATTCAGAAAGGGACACGTTATGACATAAATGTTTTATGGCTAACAACTTCTTTGTTGTATTTTAACGACGTTTCACGACTATTTCTTGCCTCTTGACAGTACAAAGGAGCCTATGCGGTCATTTCGGCGACCCGATTCTGTAGGTAATGTAACTCAGAATTGTTAGTATAGGCATCCCCCTTGTGTTAGAATAGGCCCCTGCTTTTCAGAAAAACTAGCGAGTGCTACAATGTCTGAACTCGCTTATTTACAGGCCGTTGTCAAATAACTGGAATATTGCGACATTTATGAGAAAAAACACACAGGCCTATACCATCAATGACTGGATTGTCTGGTCCCGACGCGATGGTTAAGACGCTGACATATAGCCTGAATATTGCCGTGTGTGGCTTCAAACAAGCAAATATATACCACATAACCTGTTTAGTATGGTGGCCAAGAGGAGACATCGCTTTCTCGCTCTGTTAGCAATATCCCCTCTTGATCACTATAGTGGTCGTATGTGTCATCTGCTTCAATTGGGAGGGAATGTTGAACTTTTCTCACTATTTGTTTTACATAATTTAACTGTGCAGACGTAGGTGATTTTAAAACAATTCACAGATTTCTTGGTAAAATATAATTGATTGATTTAAGGCCCTATTTAGTTTTATATGACCATCACCCCGAAAGAGCGTGGCGGATCATGGCAATACTCTCTAAATATATCAGGTTAAGATCTAAATATAGACTTTTAAAAGAAATTAAGAAGACTATGGTTAACCAGTCATGGCTGATTGTATTGCAAAATACAATCTTATAATTGTAGGTTATCTTTAATTTGTTTTGAGTAGTGTATGATGTTACAGTGTGTCATACATATATGTACATGCATATAGTGATTTGAGAAACCATATTGAGAATGGTTTTACGTTAACAATAATGTACATGTGCTTCTTTAGCAATATAATTGTCATCCCTAAATCAGACGAGCAAATGTTAGGCTTCAACTCCAAATCAGTTTACCGACAAAATAATTCTTGCAAATAGTACAAACAGTGGCTGATAATACTGGCAGTTATTTGTCAATGTATGATCTGTATGTACATCATTATTTGTTCCAGTTCAATGTATCCTTTAAAGTTTCAGTTTTAAGATTTAAGGAAGAATGGGGTATTATTAGGAATAAAATAAAATATGAATAGCGACCATTCTGTTGTAGTCACTGAATATTGCTAATTTACCACAAGAATATAAACACATGCGTGTATACAAACTAAACGAGATAGCATTCTATATTTATGTCTAACATTTATCTACTACAAAATGCTGAAACATTAATATTCTAGGTGTGAGAATTATAGAAATGGATCACTGAACATCTGCAAAAAACTTTTAATGTACGGCATTATGGGAAATATCGCTTTCTCCCTCCATCGCTTTCTCACTCTATCGCTTTCTCTCATGACTAACCATAGTCATATGAAAGAATCGTGTGTTCTTTAACTTCTTTTGAATAGTAGGTACTGTAAATCTTAAAGGCAGAGTTAATTATGAATGCAAAAAAATGCGATTTGACTCAGAAATGACTGATGATAAGACGGCCTCACTGACCACATTGAATAGCGGAAATACCTTTGGGAGTGCAAGAATGATATAAACTGTGAGACACGGCAGTCATAAACATGGCTAGACATGGCCTTACTTCTGTTAGGTCTTTGAAAGGCATTTAGAAGTGATTCACATAAGGAAGAGAATATATGGATATCAACTTCTTTATTATGAGGAACACAACGTTTCGGAGTATATGTTTACTCCTTCATCAGGTGAATGAATGCCATGAGGCAGAGAGCATATATATGTACATTTTTTTGTCCTTACATGTCCTCATAATAAAGAAGCTGACATCCATATATTCTCTTCCTTACTTCTGTTGACTACTAATCTGGACATCAGTGAAATCTACAAGCAATAAAACTATTTATTTGTGAAGCAATGTCACATAAACAATGTACAGAAAATACATTTCAGAACAGACAATGGTAGGTATGTGTGACTGTATAACTAAACAATACAACTAACTATTTCATCCAAGAATACACGTCGTACCCGTGGGGATTTCTGGTTAGAATATGTATTCAGCAACGTATGCTGGTCGCAAAAGGCGACATAATGGATTGGGTTGTCAGGCTCAGTGACTTGGTTGATCGTGTGTCATAATACACCAGCGAGGCGTTAGTGTGTCTAAAACAGCGGGAATAATGCTGAGAGTGACGTCTAACAACATATATGGGCAATTGTTTTTAGCATTAATATGCTATTTTAAAAAACACATAACACAATCATGTTGTGCAACAGACTTGAAAACTATCTTTATACATCAACTATTGCAATATGAGGTCGTAGCTGCTCATACTTCGTGTGGTGCTTCAAAACTTCATGTTTCCTATTGAATATTAAGCTTTATTACTTGCCCGTGAAGAGATCACCCGTTTAATAAACATACAGCTGTATTACACATTGTGTAATACCAAAACGCGTGCTTGTGTACTCTCGGAACACGTTTCACGAGCAAATATTGAAAGCTCTCAACATCGCTTGGCTTATTCAAAGACATTGCGTGTGGAGTTGATAGATCACAGAGGAGCTTATGCACAATCGATGACCCCAGCAACCTTGTTGCTAGGGTGACGTCACATGGCATTGTTTCGCCGATGGGTCTTGCAACAAAATTCCACAAATTACGTCATCGGGTATTGTGACGTTATTGTAAAGTTTGAGGTACAAGGCCCGTTCCACAAGGCGATCGTATTGTAGCGCAACGACAGTCGTTAGTCTAAGTTAAAGTATGTGAGTTGCGATAGTCTTAGCCCTACGATAATTTTGTGAATTCTAAAGGTGGACCGTTGTATGGTATTAAATTCATACCTTTCAACTTTTGACGTGTTTGAAGTATTATTCTGTTAAACTCAATTGGACTATGCCGTGGATCGTGTAGGTGTCAGCTAGCCTATTCATACTCAACAGTATAATTCTAAAAACGTTGTAAATGGCAAGTAATAAATAAAATACTAAACTCGCTCCCGTGTAAAACCAATTTTATGAAACTCGTGAATAGTTGTGGTATCTGACTCGCTTTCGCTCGTCAGATACCAGACCTATTCACTCGTTTCATAAAATTGGTATTACACGGGAACTCGTTTAGTATTCTATATTTATCATATATTTCAGTGTGTATGGCTGAGTTTCGGAAACGTGATGTTTTCATTGCAGTGGACAAAACAACTTATATTTCTTTGCAGTCAACATAACACTTGATATTTCAATGCAGTGAACAAAACACTTAGACGGAACGGGTAGTGTCATACCAGAGATACCTTACCACAAATGGTCTCCCTTTATTGTACGTGTCGAGCTATTGACATCATTTTTACAACATTTACAATACAGAATAATGACAGATGGTAATTAATGGAGTAAACATCGCATCTTGTCGTTTGTTATTCTCTTAAAAATATTAATTAATCGAACTTTTAATTTTTTTTGGATGTGTTGATTCCATGGTGCATTGATATGCGCAGCGTTAAATGGTCTCCCTTTATTGTACGTGTCAAGCTGTTGACGTCATTTTTACCTAAGTTCAACATGGCCACAACGGCACTCAATCAGGCATGTCATCTCTCTCATGTCTCTTAAGGTTCTCTTGCCAAGCAGGGAATACTTAGGAGCTGGTCTTCACCGGAATTGCCACGGTGAGTGAAACCCCACGTTTGATGAAATCTCTGCATTTCAGTTTAATACAAAAAAACAAATACATTTTGCAGATATTACCATAGTTAAAATAAACATTATCTATTTAAAACCCTGCAAGAAAAAAAAGAACAATATTTTCTTTCATATGAAGTTTAATTACTCACAATGAGACCTAAAATTGTGTAACGAAAAATATAATTCCACAATAACATCTGAAACTACTGTCTGTTGTCAGGTAATGGATAAATACAATGCATCTGTGTTTAAATAAAATTGATGCAATGACTTGTCCTTTCGATATCATCTTCGTGGGAAACTTGAGGCTGAATTTAAAGAATCTTTGCATTTTTTCACTGTGGGACGGAGGGTATACATCAGACCTGACAACTTGTTGCTTGAAACTATAGCTGCTGATTATGTTTTCTTTGTAGGACAAACTGAATGCAAAGTCAGATGATAAATATGAAACATTAGTCAGTGATACAGCGATGTTCTTACGTGGACAAATAAAGAGTGAAATCAAAGAACAGCCTTGGCCTCCACATCCTGAAGAATTGAATTCCACATATTCTTCTTTACCCAGTAGTGTCATAAGGTTTCTGAATCTCTTATTTGGTGGCAAAGAGACACCCTCAACTCGCATTAGCAGACTTTCATTGTCCATAGCCCAGGACATTGTTGCTGCTGTTACTGTTGGCAAAGTAATAACGCCAAAGCACATTCTTCTTCCATGGGTAATAAAATCTCTGACAGGTAATGTTGAGCTGATCAAAACTTTAAATCGCTTGGGACACTCTTGTTCATACTCAGCCTTGGAGGAGACTGACACTGCACTGTGTATTGACAAGATGGAACTTGTAGACATTGATGAAGTACTTTTCAGCAAGCATCCATCAGTCTGTTCCAACTGTACTTGCTTTTGACAACATTGACAGACAAGAGGAAGTACTAAGTGGATCAGGGACATCACATTGTGTCAATGGCATTATAGTTCAGCCAACTTCTCCGACATGTATGCCACAATTGAGCCTTCTGGTCAACTACTTCCTATCTACACTGTGGGGGAAAGGGAAGGTCCACCCCCAATTGTGCCAGCTGACCTTTCTACTGAATTTGAAGTCGCAAAAGCAAGCGCACACCAGCAACACTCACTCTGGATTCTTGTCAGAATGCATGATCCATCAATTCAGACAATAAGTTCTTGGACAGGATATAACATACTGATAAGAGATAATATGGTGGTATTTGCTGATACAGTTCGTTACTTGCCCACAATTAATGCTCCAGCAACAGAAATGGCAACTGAGCAAGAAACTCTGCATCAATCTATTGCTGCACAATCATCTCTACAGCTTCAGAATATTGCTGTTGTTTTCGACCAGGCACTGTATTCAAAAGCTACAGAAATAGTGTGGAAAAACCCTGACAAGTTTAAAGGCATTGTATTGATGATGAAAACTTTCACACAATTTGCAATTTCATGTCAGCAATTGGAAAAAGGTTTGGTGATGCAGGACTTCGTGACCTTGCAGTAGAATCCGGAGTCATTGCTGAAGGATCTATCAGTTAGGTACTGGGGGGAAAACAGTATAATCGAGCAGTCCGTTTGCATAGGCTGGTATATGAAGCATTGATGAGGCTAGCATGGAATGGATTTATGGAATTGCTTGACATCCATCGTCTTGAAAGCCTAGCAAAGCTCTGTGATGCGAAAATCCAAATAGGCCAGCTTCATCAGACCATTTGTCATGAATCACATGATAATGTATTGAGGGATGATTCATACAAGAAAATTTCTAAAGTGTTCAACAGTCACCTAAATGTCTTGCGCCATGAAAGAGGTCAACTCTCAGCCTTTTGGATGACTTACATTGACATGGTGGATGTTCTGCTTGGCCTACATCGTGCTGACAGAGAAGGAGACTGGCATCTTCATCTTGCTTGCATCAGAAATGTCATACCTTGGTGCTTTGCAATGAACAAAACCAACTATGCATGGTTACTTCCTGTGTACTTTGCTCAGATACTCGGTTAAAGGAGACAAGTCCATGGATGTATGAGCACTTTCGCAACAAGGGTTTCTCTGTTCAACTGAGGAAAATGAATCCCTTTGGCAGTATTGCAGTTGATCAGACCACAGAAGAAACTGTAAACAAAGACACCCAAACTGCTGGTGGGACATGAGGGTTCAGTCTCAAGCCAGGGACCGTGTCACGTTACTATCTCACTGCTGAACACAGAGCAGCTGCATTTAGACAACTACGTGAACAAATTTCAGTGCAGTCACCTTCCCTTAGCCATTCAGACCTGGACAGGCCACGCATTCGTAGAGATGAATCTGACATCAGATCATTAGTTGATACATTTGAGAACTGGACAAACCCGCTTTCTGAAGACTCAGATTTTGTTTGAATATCCATTGAAGCAGTGGCTCCCCTGAAGTTTCTGCCGATCTT